AGCCGTTCAGGTAAACTAATCAAATCCAAGGAGCGGGTTCTGGGAACTTCTGTTCTATAGCCAATGGTTCAGAAGCAAGGGCTTCCCTAGTAGCTCAGTTGGTAAGAATCTACCTGCAATGCAGGAGACCCAGGTTCGATCTCTGGGTCGGGAAGATCCCCTGGAGAAGGGAATGGCAACCCACTCCAGTACTCTTGCCTGGAGAATTCCATGGACAGCGGACCTGGTGGGCTACCGTCCATGGGATCGCAGTCAGAAATGACTGTGAGACTAACTTTCCCTTCCTTTCCTTTCAGAAGCATGGGTAACAACCCGGACTCTGATTGGTGTCTGAAGTGGGAAGGAGTGACAGGCTTTTGGAACTGAACCCTTAACCGGAGGGATCTGATGCTATCTCCAGGTGGACTTTGTCAGAATTGAATTAATGTCCTTCCCAGGTGTCACTAGTGGTAAGGGACCTGCCTGCCAATGCAGAAGAGGGAAGAGACGCAGGTTCAATTCCTGCATCGGGAAGATCCCCTGGAGGAGGAAATGACAACCCACTCCAGTATTCTTGCCTGGAGAATCCCAAGGACAGAGCAGCCTGGTGGGCTACAGCCCATAGGGTTGCAATGAGTCAGACACAACTTTGGATGCACACATAATACCCTGCTGGTATCCCAGAGAATTGCTTGTGGGGAAAATCTCACACATATGTGATGACAGAAGTATTATGAGTGTGGCAATAGTATGAGAGTAAAGGAAAGACACACACAGTTTTTCTAACACAAGTAAGAATGATACCATGTTACATAAGCTAACAGACATACAAACAAATTGCAAAGAGAAAGAATGAGAAGAATGACTAATGTTTGTGGGAGGCAGCCTTCTAAAAAGCCTCCCAGTGATCCCTCACCTCCTGGTAGTCATTGTTTTTGTTGTTTAGCCTATAAATCATATCTGACTCTTTTGCGAACACATGGACTATAGCCCACCAGACTCCTCTGTCCATGGGATTTCCCAGGCAAGAATACTAAAGTGGGTTGCTGTTTCCTTCTCCAGGGCATCTTCCCCACCCAGGGATTGAACCTGCATCTCCTGCATTGGCAGGCAGATTCTTTACCACTGAGCCACCGGGGAACAACCTTGGTGCATTCATGCCTTGGCATAATCCCTTCTCGTAAGTGTGAGCTGGACATAGTAATTTACTTATAATGAATAGAATATGCAAAAGTAATGGGATACTACCTCCAAGATTAGGTGTAAAAGATGATTTCCATCTTGCTAGCATACTCTCTGACTCTTCAATCTTGCTGGCTCTGTTGAAGCAAGTTGCCATTTTGTGAGCTACCGAATAGTGAGTTCCACAAGGGAAAGTATGGTGGTTAGCCTTTGGCAGATAGCAAACAAGGAACTAAATCCTGCCAATAATCATGTGAATAAACTTGGAAGTGATTCGGCCCCTAGAAGAGCCATGAGAAGAATACAGCCCTAGCTGACACTGCAGCTCTGAGAGAGCCCTGAAGCAAAGAACCCAGTTGGCCATGCCTGGATTGCTGACAGACAACTCTAGATAACAAGTGTAACTACAAGTCATTAAGGTTAGGCTTAATACTTTGGCCACCTGATGCGAAGAACCAACTCATTGGAAAAGACCCTGATGCTGGGAAAGATTAAAGGCAGGAAGAGAAGGGGGTGACAGAAGATGAGATGGTTGGATGGTATCACCAATTCAATGGACATGAGTTTGAGCAAACTCCAGAAGACAGTAAAGGACTGGGAGGCCTGGCAATCTACAGTCCATAGGGTCACAAAGAGTCAGACGTGATTGAGCAACTGAACAATAGCAACAACAAGGTTAGGGGTAATTTGTTTTGCAGCAACAGATAATAAATACAATTGGGAAAAAAAGCAAAGGTATTTGAAACAGAAGGAACGGCACTTGCAAAGATGAGAGGTCATGACACTAATTACATTCCAGAATAGCAAATATCCTTGTGTAGTTACATCATGAAGGATTCTTGCAGAAATGACTGGAGAAAAGGTTTGAGATAACGATTCAAGTCAGATTGCAAAATGTGTTCAAGAATCATTTGTATCAGTCAGCATGTCCTCAGAGCAAACAGAAATCTCTCCAATTGTTCTAAACAGAAAAACCTTAACATAGGGAATTAGGTATTGTTGGAAGGACTTAGAACCTAAGTGTGAAAGCTACAACTGTAGCTGCTTCCTACCACTCATAAAGTTAGGTTAGCTTCTGGAACTTGGCCACAGAAAAACCATGATCCACAATCATGCTTGCCTGTAGCCAATTGCTGAAGTTGTGCAAAGTTGGTCTCTCCCTCCTTCTGCCTTCTATCTCCTGGATCATTGTATAGTGCCAGAAAGTAAGGAAGTGAGCAATCAAAGCACAAATACGGAAGTAGACCAAAGGGACACAGGAGCAAATGAAAAGAGCTCCTGATGGTCAAAACTGGAGCAATTTGAGAAAAGAGATGAAATAGTACTGGAGTTTTCTCAAGTGGTGCTAGTGATAAAGAACCCGCACGTCAATGAAGGAGACTTAAGAGACATGAGTTCAATCCCTGAGTTGGGAAGATACCCTGGAATAGGAAATGGCAACCTGCTCCAATATTCTCGCCTAGAGAATCCCATGGACAGAAGAGCCTGTCCTTTGTCCATAGGTGGGCTATAGTCCATAGGGTCGCAAAGAGTCAGACATGACTGAAGCAACTATGCATGCACACATGCAAGCTTGTGAATAGTATTGGATTATACTAAAGTAATACATATTCACTAGTCCATATTGATAGAGATAAGCTATTGAATAAATTAAGGAGATTATTAAATCAGTATCCTGTGCAAGAGAATTACAAGTAACTTTTGTAGACATTTCACTTCCAAGGAGGCAGAACATAACTCCCCTACTTAAGTATAGGCTACGTATTGTGACTTCTTTCCAAAAAGCACAATGTAGAAAGGGGAAAAGAAGGCTCTCAGCTGATTTCCGTATTTAAAAAATGCTCTGAGGTCAAACCTGACCTTGCATATAGACTGTTAGGGGGGAAGTAACTAAATTTTATTTACATTGAACTAGGAGATTGAACTGACAAATAATTGCTTTTTTTCCTGTTTGGATACCTAAACCTTTTCAGTGTGTGACTCTCCCATTCCTTAGGAAGAGTTTATTTACTTGCATATTATTATTATCGTCTTTAGAAATTTGTTCTCCCCCAGAGCAACTGATTTTGCTTTGGGCACTAGCTAAAGGTCTAGAGAAGTACAATAAAATGTAGCATTCTTTGGCTTGAAAGTCAATATGACACAATTCTGTTCAAGCCAATGGATATTTAGAAATTCCCACTACATGTAAACATGTGCTAGGTCTCAAGCCACCTGCTTTACTCCAGTTTTCTATGCTTGGAAATCAGCTTATCTTCAGTGGACCCACATTAGGATGCTAATATGACAGTTGGCCTGGAGTTTATAAGCATGCAGTTTTACAGAGGACTCCTTCCCAAGACAGAGTAACTTTGTCCAAAGGAATGCATCTATAGTATTTGAGCCTGTGAGACAGACATGGAGAAGTCATTTCTGGGCAGGGAAATCCTTTGCACCACCTGCAAATGTAATCACATGGCTATCTACTGGCCTCTTTCTAAAACTGGCTTTGGTAGGCTGGCTTGTATGTCTGACCTGGGATGCCCCCTCACATTCTTCCAATTTCTCTTTGTTCAGTGGAAAATAAAGAGAATCTGACTAGGAAAGAGGAAACTTCCAGACCAGGATCTACTTCTAGTTAGTTGTGACACTGGGCTCCATTTTTTTCTTTTTCTTTTTTAACTATGAAAACAGAGTTTAGAAAAGCTTATCTTGAGTCCTTCTGAGCCTTACATTTTCTGATCCTATGAAATGAATCAGGTAAGTCTTTGCTGAGGTCAGTATCTGCTTCAAGGAAGGAGCAGTTCTCAGTCTTTTAATGCTTCTCTTTTCCCCTTGTTACTGCAATGTATTTTAAGAAAAATTTCCTGAAGATGGGACAGGAGTCCTGACTTGTTTTTCTTATTTCACCTCTGTGTTTTTTGACAAGTGACTGATTTCAACCTTACATATTGGAGTGGTTTACATCCGTACATTGTCATTTGCAAGGGAAGTCTGGTGTTGTAGGGGAAGGAGTGTGGGCTCAGTGGTCATTCTGACCTGGAATTGAACCCTACCTTCACCACTTAACTAGGCCTGTGATCTCAGAAAAGTGACTAAACTCCTCTGAAAATCCAACTTTCTAGTAATAAGAAATGACAGTAATAATCCTTCTCAGGGAAGATGTGGCAATTAAATAGAACAACATGAGAAAATGACCATCACTTAGTAGGTGCTCAATAAATGATAGTTTCCTCCCTTTCTCCTTCCCTCCCTTCTTTCTTTTCTTATTTCCTCTCTTCCATGATGATGGAAGTTACACATTTTCATCAGTATTTTTTGCAATTGACATTTGGACTAGCAGTTATATGTGGCTGGGTAGAGTTTTAGTTTCTCCTCCTCCCTCCTCAATAGGGCATAGCCTTGTCTAAATTAATACAAGATCCTATATGGTATATGGGCCCTGGTGGCTCAGTGGTAAAGAATCCGCCTGCCAAGCAGGAGATGCGGGTCCCTGGGTCGAGAACATTTGATCCCTGGGTTGAGAAGTTCCCCTGAAGTGTTGATCCTTTAATGGACTGGAACCTGGTGGTCTGGAGTCGATGATAAGAAAGTAAGAAAGAGAAAGAGGCTGACAGCGCTTGTTGGTCCTTTAATGGAGCAGAACCTGGTGGCCCGGAGAGTAAGAGAGAGAAAGAATGAAAAGAAAGAAAGAAAGACACAGGGACCAAAGCTCTGATGGAGCAAAGGTGTTTTAATCAACATGGTGTGGGCATATATACTGTCTTACAAGGTGGTTATTCTCAGCAAAGACAAAGATTAAAATTCCAGACTTACAAAACATAGGATGATCCCTATCAAAGAGAGAGAGTTGCAAACTATCACCTTTTACCATTTAGCTCATAAAAAGGAAGAGGGTACTTATCACTGTAATGAGAAATGCCTGGATTCCTCAGCCCCGGGAAAGGCGTGCCTCTCCTCTTAATTCCTGAATATTCAGGAATCAGTAAGGGCCAGAGGGTTCCTAACAGATCCAAAACAGCACACAGGAAGCCTCTTGTTAAAGGCTTCCTGACACTGGAGAAGGAAATGGCAACCCACTCTAGTATTGCTGCCTGGGAAATCCCATGGACAGAGGAGCCTGGTGGGCTACAGTCCATGAGATTGCAAAGAGTTGGACATGACTTAGCAACTAAAACAGCAGTGCAGTAGGTACTCATGGATGGAAGACCTGGTGTAGATGAGCTGATTCTTTTCCAGCTAAACCCTACAGATGGAAGACCCCCCTGAGGCTTTTTTCCCCTTTCCTTCTTCACTTCCTGTGAACTGGTTGAGGCTGATTAAGCTTTGTTGTTATTGTTGTTTATTCACTAAGTTGTGTCTGATTCTTCATGACCCCATGGACTACAGCCCGCCAGGTTCCTCTATCCAAGGGATTTCCCAGGCAAGAATACTGGAGTGGGTTGCCATGTCCTTCTCCATGATTAAGCTTAAGGACTGACAAACCAGGGTTTTAAATTCATAGACCTCAGGGCCAACCAGGCATGTTGTCAATGAATGAAATGGACTGGGTATGAAAAACAAAAGGCAACAGTACTATAAGATTCATAGGAAATGGCACCTTTACTTTGGTGTGAGGTTGCAGTCGGGAATGGTGAGGACTGTGGTGAGGTGCAGAGAGCATCGTCCACTTAAGGGGGCAGCCACAGCTCAGGATCAGCAACTATAGAAACTATGAGGCAGTAAGCATTCTCTAGTTCCAGATCTTGCTAGTTTTTGAGGGAACAGAAGTATAAATATGAAATCTCTTGATGTTTAATTCTTGGCAATTAAACCTAAATTTTAAGAGAATACTTTGTGGGCCAACCATAAAAGACTAGGCCAACAGGTTATGGCCTCTGAGCTGAAAGGATCATGGAATTGTGCACTTACTGATGAAGGGAAGAAGATATTAGCAGTCTAAGAGAGAAAGACTATATATACATGTAGAGAGAAAGTTAGAGAAACAGGACAAATGAGAGGTCCTGAATTCCCAGTTTCCTGTGAACTCAAACATTGGAATGTAGGACCTGAATACTAAGTAAAGGACTAATTTATATGTGTATAATTGACCTACTTAAAATAAGCCCGTCTGAAGCAAGTAAAGTCCCACACGGTGACGTATGTTCTATTGGCTTTGTCAATATGTTTCAACAACCAAAGTTGTTTACTTTTGCAAACAACAGGTTCAGTTCAGTTCAGTTCAGTTCAGTCGCTCAGTCGTGTCCGACTCTGCAGACAACAGGTTACTTCATTGCAAGGAAGGTATAAAGCCTCAGTGTAAATAAGAGAGCAAAGGAACTTTATAAATGCTTTTATTTTTTCAGCACAATTATTTCTGCACCTCCCAGGCTTCTTTTGCTGGAAGGAGAGTTAGCAATACATTTGGTAGTGACATCTAAAAAGCGTATAGAGGTAATGATGTATTTTTTAGGTATGTTAATAATAAATTAAGGCTATAATGGTTGTCATATTAATGAGAAAATAATGAGTAGGTTAGTCTCCGAAAAAAGTAATTGGGTTTTGGAAGTAGACAAGCTGGGATATTAACAGTGAAAAAATTATCTTCATATATTCTACTACATGAACATTTTGATGAATAATATTCAATTATGGGATGTAAGAACTTGCACAGCACCTGACATAGAGTAGGCATTCAGCAAATATTTATTAAACTTTTCTGCTTTTTAACAGTAATTTTATTCACCAATAATTTCTGTAATTTGGATTAAAATAGAAATTTGTAAGAGGTTTTTTTGGGGGGGCAGGTTCTTTAATAGTATATTATTCTAGAGAAAATAGCAGCAGCTCAAGAGAGAAAAGTAAGTGTGTGTAGCTTCTGATAAGTGATTTCAGTTCAAATTATTCAGAGATGAACGTTTGCTCTGTCTGTATTTATAGTCCCTACTGACAAATGCTCTCACATCCCCAGCCTTGTTCTTTTTCTCTATTTATTTTGGCTTTACAGAGATTAGGTCTCACATCATGGGAATCTATGTCTTTTAGTTGCTAAACTTTTCCTTCCTTCTTTCACTCTTGCCTGGCTCAGAAGAACATGCCAGGTGGTAAAAAGTGTTTCCTTTCCAGAGCTGAAGAGATCTGGGCTGTAGAGTCAATCAACAGACAAAGCCTTGATCTCAATGGTTTCTTGACTCTTAACTCACCTATTCCCAGGCAGCATAAAGGCCACTTGGCAAACATGTTCTGCTTAGCTGTTTAGGTCCTGGTGTTTTGCACAAGTTCCTTTCTCCCACTGGGATATTATTAGGACATAACCAGGCTAGAAAGGTTGTAGGAAGCTTTGGAGGTAGGAGGGTAGGATCCAGAAAGGACTGTAAGAAAAAGGGAATTCCCTTTGGTGTACTCCAGAGTTGAAAGGTAGCCCTGAGTTGACTCTACTCAGGAACCAAGGGTAAACTTGCTTGCTTGGTTCTCTGGTCCTTTTAAGCTCCCCATCTGGGACCAGGATGTGTATCAGGAAGGAAATAAGCCTGAGGTATGTCCTCTCATTTCTTGCTTGTCTAAACTTCAGCTTCCAGGCATCGCACTGTGGTTTTGGGTGGACTCTTGGGCTCCTCTGATTTTTTATTCATTTTCTTTGATTCCTCATTAGGGTTGCTATCATCGGCCTTCTCCTCTTTTACTACTTTAGTTTCTATAATTTCCTTCTGCTGGTTCTTATTTGTAAAAGGGAATGCCTTCACATACCTGTAGGCATAAACACAAAATTAAAATGAGACACTTCTATATAACACATAGAACAACAGATAACACTTTGTAAAGACCTATACTGGCAAAGTACACTGGGTTCCTTTATTTCAGAGAGATGCTAACACATGCATGCATGCTCAAATACCTTCACCTATCTTGACCTGAATGGATTCATTTAGATGGAATGGTAGGTTCACAGGCCAACCTTTAGCCTGGTCTCAAAACCCTCTCATCAAAAGCAAAGAATTGAAAATCAAAGAAAGCATATCCATTTCCTTCTAGATGCCAATCTTTTCTTTTTATTTCTTGATATTCAAAGGGACAGCTGTTGATCTATATCTTCAAGCTGGATAACATGCATATGCTGAAATAGTAGGGAAGTTTGTGTGGTAGGGAGGACCAGTGAGGTGAGGGAGAACGTTTACAGGGTAAGAGGACTGCCCTCTCCAAAAGGGAAATGCTAATAACGACCCTGGATAAACACAAGATAGAGATGTGACAAAAATGAGGAGACTGACCATACACCAACAACCCCACCTTTTGACGTAGCAAACTGCAAGGCCAGCTGCGGCAGCAAAGAAGAGGAGCGCGAGAACCAGCAGGGCTGTGGGAACACCTGAGGGAGACAGAGACAGGGCCTGTCGGTCCTTCACACAGACATTGCTGTGGGCTGGTCTTCTAACGACTCATCCTTACACATGATGGAGACCAGAGACAGGCAGGGGAAGAGCCTTCTCTGTGACCACACAGGGGCCACTTAGGGTGTTAGGCTCACATGTACTTCTTTCCTTCTTGCCTATAGAATCCTTGGTCTTGCCTCTCACACTCTCTACTCTGTTAGTTGCAATATGACAGAGTCTGTTTCCGGTCTGTGGCCTTGAAGACGATGAGTTTGGAGCAAATTAAGTGCAAGACCCTTCCTTTTAAATAGGAAAAACAACTTACTGGTCATAGGCATTTAAGGTGTCTAGATATATTTTTAAAACTTCTGCATATGAATGCTACTGTACTGCTAAGTCACTTCAGTTGTGTCCGACTCTGTGCGACACCATCCCTGGGATTCTCCAGGCAAGAACACTGGAGTGGGTTGCCATTTCCTTCTCCAATGCGTGAAAGTGAAAAGTGAAAGTGAAGTCTCTCGGTCATGTCTGACTCTTTGCGACCCCATGGACTGCAGCCTACCAGGCTCCTCCGTCCATGGGATTTTCCAGCAAGAGTACTGGAGTGGGGTGCCATTGCCTTCTCTGTCTGCATATGACTAGATAGTAATTTATTCTGAAAAATTTTTATATTTTATGTCTGATCTTTTTTTTTTGATGTCAAATTTTTATATTTTAAAAGTCAAGCTATCTTATTTTATTTCTTTAAATGTAGATTTTTATTACATATCATTCTTGTACATGTATAAGAAGAAAAATAATTGGTTAAGGCCCTCCTAAAACTTCGTCAGATTTGGAGTCCATTTGTTTTTCTCAAAATCACTGATATCTGGATATTTCATACAATACAATTCCATGAAGACTTAGGTGATATATATACTTCTTAGAAAAGTGTTTTGCCATTGTCACCAGAATTTTATTCCAAGCTACTGAAAAGTGAATCTATTTTAGACTCATGGTGGTGGTGGTTTAGTCACTAAGTTGTGTCCGACTGTTTGCGACCCTATGGACTTTAGCCCCTCAGGCTCCTCTATCCATGGAATTTTCCAGGCAAGAGTACTGAAGTGGGTTACCATTTCCTTCACCAGGGGATCTTCCTGACCCAGGAATCAAATTTGCATCTCCTGCAATGCAGGCAGATTCTCTATTGCTGAGTCACCAGGGATTCCCTTCAGACTCATGGTTTTTAGTTTAATCATTAGAGACCTCAAGTTCTATGACTATATGAAATTTGAATTTGCATTAAGCTTTTATTTGTATTAACATTTGTCAGGTCCTGAGTGCCCAATCTGGATACAGCCTAGTTTCTATGTATTGTCTATTACACACACACACACACACACACACACACACAATATAGACAGAAAGTTTTTACCTCCAAACCCAACAGCTTCATTCTTGAAGGCTGGTCTATTTTGGATATCTGATTCTCTTTCTGTAGCTATGGTGCTAGTGTCCATAAAAGCTTCTGTTATGCAAATTAATTTTCTTTTGCGTGGAGGAGAAGTGGACGCCAGAGGGGGAGCCACAGTCGTTGTAACATAGTCAGGACCGTCAGTAGACAATGCAGAGTGTGTACTGTCACTGACCATCATTTTTGTTGTGACCATCATTTTCGTTGTGTATGTTGCAGTTTCAGTGTTGAATAAGGGATCATCAGTGGTGATAATTTCTGGAAGGCATGAGTTAATCCAAGTATCTGTCCAGGGAGGGAAAAGTAAAATAAGAAGTACGTATTGAAATAGCCTCCTAAGTGGTCTGTCTGCCTCCAATCTTACTTTCCTCCATTCTCTTTATACTGTAACTGGAATGGTCTTACAAAAATGTGAATGTAATCATATCACTTTCTTCTTTAGAATCCTTCCCTTACTATACTGCACGGCCTATGAAGTCCTTCATGACCTGGCGCCTGTTGACATGGCCTGCCTCACTTGAAGAGTCTTTCTCTCATTCCCCTTGCCATAAAGGAGTTCCTTCAGTTCTTTGATGTGCTTTCTTTCATATTCAAGTCTTTGACCAGGATGCTTTCTTCACCTGTAAGAAGCCCCTTTTTATTAAGCTTTTCCTTGTCCTTCAGGTCTCAAACTGACTGTCTCTTTCTTAGACAGACTTGAAGGCCAGTCTGGATCCCTAGACTTGCAGTCTAGTACCTCCTGGTATTTCCTTTGTCATGATTCTCACTATACTGCTCCCCACTGGACCATGAGCTCCCTGGAACAGGGCTCCTGTCTGTCTTGATCATCATGGTCTGTGCACTATGCCTGGCACATAGTACATGCTCAATATTTGATGATTAAAGGAAAGAAGGAAATGTGAAAAGAAGAAAGGAGCAGATGGGGAGGCCAAACATACATACATGACACCACTTCAGGACAAAGATCTACTAAAACCAGATTGTTCCGTGTTCATTGAAAAAAAAATGTCTTTTAAAGGAGGTGGGGGACAGAGGAGGGATGTTGGTTTTCTCTCCAATCTGTTGAATGTGGTAGAGAGGAAACTAGCATTTGATGAATTCTTACTCTTGAGTCAACCATGGTAATTCATTTACAATTTTATAAAACCCTCATTTGTACAGGAGAAACTGAAATTCAGAGAAATTGAATACCTTGCCCAAAGTCAAGTAGCCAGTAAGTGTTAGAGACAGGCAATATATTCCAACATGCATTTGTATCTCTTTTAAATCCCTAGTTATTTGTGAGAGTGAGTAGCATCAGCTGGAATGTTAGTAATAAAGGAAAAGTTATTCTATTATTTTTAAAAATTAAGTAAAAATTACCAACCAAGTCTGTGGTGAATATGATAAAACATTTTGACCCCACATGCATTCAGTCAGTGTTTTATACTATTCTTTTTACTTTGAAAAGACCTCTATTCAAATAGGCATCATCCTTGACCTCTGCCCTGGACTTTGGAAGGAAGCTCTGCTCACCACTATACCACCTATGCTGCCCTGGATTTTTAGCTACATTTTCCATTCTTGAGTATGTGCTAAGTTCTTCCTTCAAAAAATGAACATTTTTAAATATCAGGGGGAAAAGCATACTGAACATGATATACTGTGCTTGGAACTGAGAATACAGAATCAAATAAGGGGGGATTCCTGTTTCCTAGAGAAGTATTTTGATGAGAGTAGGGGGAGATAACTGGAGATTCACAGATGAGATGGTATGAACAGTATGTGGAGGGTTAATGTGCTCATTCAACAAAATTTATTGAGTTCCAACTGTGCAAGGTGCTAGGGACATAGTGCAAATAAGACAAAGTGCTTGCTCATAAGGGGCTTATATGTTATTGGAAAGAAGGATATAGATAATAAAAAAGCACAAAATAAGCCAGAAATTTCAGAAGATGATAATTGTTGATAGGATAATTAAGCAGGATCAAACTGGAAGAGGCAGCAATGGGAACAGATACTTTGGATAAGGTGATAAGAGTAAGTCTTCTTGGGGAGCAGATACTTAAGCTGGAACCTGAATGATAAAAGTAGTGAGTCATTGAAGATCTCAGGCAAAAGCATTCTAAGTAAAGAGAGCAGGAAGTTCAAGGGCCAGAAAATGGATAATATCAGCCTGTTTGATGATAAGAAGGCCAGTATGGTTACGATAGAGCTCCAGCTCCTCTAATATGGAAGAGGGAATAGGATATCCCAGTCAGTCAAAACAGCGTGACCCAAGATTACAGAAATTTGAAAGTGTAGGCATGTCAGAAAATGACAGGGCACATAATGTGGCTGGCTTGCAGGGCGTGTCTATGTTGGGAGCATGAAAGACTGCAAGGAGGAGATGAGACTGGGAAGATAGGTGGGAGCCAGAGTATTAAGAGTTAAAACTACCATGGTAAAGAATTTGGAATTCGTTCCGTAGGAGAAGAAATTTTCAACTGGAGTTTCCAACTTTCCAATTGATACATAGAAGTTCTCATCTACACCCAGTTTTATGTGCAAAAAGTCTTCATAGTTCACATTAGATTCTCAGATGGGAAGCCACCCAAAGCTATGGAGCAGAGGAGTGACATGATCATCAGTGAAGGTGTGTGGAGGATGAAATAGAGATGACAGAGTAAACATGGTCATTTTTACTTAATTTTCAGGAGCCAACAAAGAGGTTATTGCAATTGCACAGAACTAGGAGAATCCAGAGTATCTGGAATTCTAGAACTTACGTCTTAGAGACCTTGGCTAGAGAAGTGGATCTCAACTCCGACTGCAGGTTAGAATCATCTGGGGAACTTTGAAAACATATTCTTGTGAAGGACCCACCCTTGGCCTTGTATGTTACTGTCGTGGTAATCACCAGGAAAGGTGACGAGGAAGTCACCCCAGGCCCAAGATTTAAATCCTAGCTCTGTCCTTAGTGACTGCTGACACTGCTGAGCACACTTTTAAGCACAAGTTACTTCTCCTGGAGAGCAGTGGTGGGACCCTTGTGTGACTTCACTGCAGAGTGATGAGACAGTAAATGTGCAGCGCCTAGCATAATCTATGACATGATCTGTAAGGTCTGTAAGAATTGGTTTCCATTGCCTCCCTATTCATTAAGGTTAGGCAAGAAGGCTACCATGTGATGGAGCAACAGCAATCTGGTTCCTTACCAGCTGAGGGCACAGTATGTCTCACCCGGAAGTGATAGGACCTGGGTCTTCTTCCCTCCAAACAGTAAGTATAATTTCTCTAGAATATGCCAAATTCTTTGATAGATTATTAAACACAGTGTGGTTGGTGTCCAAGAGGAAAGATTAGGAATCAGGGGTACAGAAAGCCTTCCTGAAGAAGGAAGTCTTTATTCAGACTTGAATAAAGAATACAAGTCAGCTAGGTGATGAGAGGATAAGCACTGTGGCAGAGGGAACAGCACGAAACACACGGTGCATGCCAAGCATTAAAAGCACTTTGGTCTGATTCCCAAAGCTCACAAAGACAGCAATAGGAAGATAACATTTGGAGTCAGGTTTCTGGTTACTCTGATCCTCAGAGCCTATAAGACAGCAATAAAAAAGAAAGTTACAAAAACAAAGAAGCATAAGATAAATCCAGGTCAGTGGCAAGATGAGGGCTAGGGTAACTCTGATCCTCACAAAGATGGCAAACAGAAGCAAGTGAACCTAATTTATTTTAAAAGGGTAGCCAATTTTCTCAAGTCACTTTTATATATAATTCTCTGACAGTACATTCTCAGAGAGATACCTTATGAGGACTAAAAGAAATAAAAATGAACTGCAAATTCCATTCAGTAGGTTTATTATCTTAATAATGTTTTTATAATTTTGAAAATATTATAGGATAAGAAAATATATTAATATTTTTTATTGAAAACAATAATTTTCCATGTAAGAGAAAAAAGATGCCAGTGTATATGTATACACACACATATATATTCCTAGTTGCCCACTAAAAAGGGCTGAGAAGTAATGAAAATGAAAGTATTAATTAGAACAACTTGAATGCAGATCTTGGTTTCTAATTAACCTCCTCTATTAAAAAGGTCTCTTGGAGAAATAGCTACAAATGGCTGATTTCATGTCTAGGATAAAGGAAGCACAAAGTGAGCCTGTGGCGTGTTGTTATGACAGAAAGCAATGACCTGCTCAAATACTAATGGCATGACAGAAGTCAGGTAGCAGGGGTTTCCACTTGCCAAATGTGGGACCATTTGAGCATCAAAAAGAATAAAGTAATGATAACTGTACAATTGATGATAACACACGGAACACACAGACTAAGTAAAATGCTATTCATCTATGTGATTATAGTATTAGTACTATATGCATTATAGTACTAGGGGAAGGGAGAAGATGTGTGTATGTGTGTGTGTGAAAGAGAGAGATTCTTCTTTATCAAAGAATGCCAACTAATAGATGAAGAAGGAAGAATGTATTTAGATTTTGTAGTCCTGCATATAACTGATTCCAGCAAGGATCATCAATGTCTGCTTGAACTATTAGGTAAAAGATGATTGGGGGTATTTGCATGGTGCCAAAATATCACACTAGAGGTTCCCTCCTCATTGCCAAAGGGAAAACAAATCTGAGTTCATTAGGGAGGTCCAGCAGTCACCATATTATTCAGATGATCAAAGTTAGCATGTTAATAGTGGAATATACTGACATTCAGTGCCTTTTGTTGGGATATGATCTAAAGTACACAATATCTAACCTATCAAGTATTTTTGCCCAAACTAGTAGCCGTGTGTCTAATCAAGCCTCTATATTTAACTTTAAGTATATAGGAAGCATAGAGAATGGAAGTACAGGTTAAACGAAACCATGAGGAAACACACAAACCTGAGTCATCTCCCCGGACTCCTTTTCGTTTAGTCCAGAGTACTGGGTGTTTCTTTGTCACGCTGACAGCTGTCAGGAAGGGCGGGCATTTGAAAGGCCAGCCCATCTGACAGGCATGCATTGGCTGTCACATAAGCAAGCAAACAAACCACCAATTCCCCAGCCAAAAGTGATAGGTGGATGAGGTGGGGAGAGGAGGATGGTGAAAAAAGTTGGTAAAAAGCTTATGTTTTAGTCTTTACATAGCTGGAAGCTCACTGTAAGTCTTTGAACCAGACCAACCTCCATTCTGAGCTATAGTCATTTCATCTGTGAAGTAAGGGAAGTGAAAAATCTCAAGACTTTTTGAGGCCAGGTCCCCATAGTTCATAGAACCGCTTGGATCTAATTGCTGCCTCTGGGCAACAGAACATTGACGGTGGAATTTTACCTCCTGGATCTTAGAGAATGACCACTGAGTCACTGACCTTTAGAAGGTCAGATTTATGAATATGTGTGAAAAGTAATAAATGAGACAGAGGGGAACAAGTGTTTAGTCAAAAGTTTTCTGAGAAGTTACTTAGGTAAAGCACTTGGGCTAAGGCAGCCAAGATCTTCCAACAAGGTTAAAGGGATGACCATGAGCAAATCAGTTCCATTTTCTAGCTTCAATTCCTTCCTTCATAAAATGAAAATTGGGTCTTATTCTTAAAATCATCTAATGTAGCATTTGAACTTCCACTCCTGTAAAGGAATGTGGGATAAATGAAGGAGATCTGTGTGTGAGTCTTCACAGTAAGGAAATCTTAGACAAATGTACTTATATCCTCTACCCTAAGCTTTTTCATTTGCAAAAGAGGGATGATAAAGCATACCTCCTATGGACATTGTCAAGGTTTAGTGAGATAAATAGTATATTGCTTTGGCCATGGGTGCTTCCTTCCCTTCTTCCTGTTTATCTTATGCGATGAGAGGAGGGGATGGAGCCTCTAGGGGTGCCCTCTCCCTATATTGCCAATCTGTCATATTCCCCTAAATTTTCCTCTGAGGGGGACACTGCCACCTCTAGCCTTGTAAAGATTCAGTCTTGGGAGGATTCAATGGCCATCACTGAGATTGTTTCTGCTGATGCTCAGGTTTACTCTTCTCAGACTGGTCATGGTGGTGGTGGTTAAGTCGCTAAGTCATGTCCAACTCTTGTGACCCCATGGACTGTAGCCTGCCAGGCTCCTCTGTCCATGGGATTTCCCAGGAAAAAATACTGGAGTGAGTTGCCACTTCCTTTGCCAGGGGATCTTCCTGACCTTGGGATTGAACCCACGTCTCCTGCTTTGCAGGCAGATTCTTTACCTCTGAGCTACCAGAGATGTCCTGGTTATAGAGCTATTGAAACTCAGACAAAACACACCACATGGAGAGACTGCAGATCTAACTCACCAGATGAGTTGTGACAGTAGGCCCTGTGCCTACTGCTGAGTGAACTTCTCCAAATCACGACGCCCACCCCGCTCTTCCCACACTTGGGGTTGGAGATAATTCGAGGGATGACCACGAACTGATTTTTAACCCATCCATAGCTGTAACAGAATACACATGAATTGAATGGATACACAGATCTCTTGTTGCTGAACAAGACCACAGAGCCACCAAAGCTCCCACAGTGTTTGTGAGTCTGTTTCTCACCTGCAAGTCTCAAAGCCAAATTTCCGTGCTTCTTCAACCTGGTCTTGGCTGGCTAAAGTGAGTCCCATGAGCCTACAGGCCTCCTGGGCTTCTGTGAAATTCAGAAGCGGCTGTGTCTTTTTGGTCACCAGGGTGACTCCCATGATTCTGCATGGTCCTGAGACGATAAGTTCTGCAAAGGAATCACAAAGCCCCTCAGTGGGCTGCTGTCCTTGTCTCAGCCCTCGGGCTCTCCTTCTGGGTAGAGCCTCACTGTCAACACGGCAGCTGGGATTGAAGTTCAGAAATAACAGGACACAGATAAGGCAGGTAGGTGCTTGCCTGGATCCATGCTGTGTCTCTCACCGGGTCCAAGTCCATCCCCCCTCACTGAGTTCAGGTGCCTTGTTCATTACATGGAGACTTTGGCTACTAGTTCCTAGGCAAGGGCAAGTCTAGGGGATGCAGCTGCTGCAAACCTTTTTGGAGTCTATAAAATGAAGGGTCTGAGACACTGAGAAAGATGAAATCCAGGGCTCTGCATAAACATAATAGCAATACTCCCAACTAGTGTGGGTTGGAGACAGCACTATTTCTGAGATGGGCTGAAAAATGTTGTACTTGTTATAATAGAATGTGAACTTTCTCAGTCCCAGGTCGTCTCTGACCATTGGGGGGCAGGCTTACGCAGAAGTTCCTGGAGGAGTCAGATAGTAAAGCTTGCATGGCAGAGAAACTAAATAAAGGAAGTGGAGTTTTAGAGTCAGACCTGGATTTGAATCTAATCTAGATTGCTTGTCAGCTCTGTGAATTTAGGCTAGTTACTTCATCTCTTTGAGCCTCAGTTTCTGTATTTAGAAAACTGAAAGAACAACAGTATCTACTGTATAAGGTGGTGGTGGTTTAGTCACTAGGTTGTGTCCAACTCTTGCGATTCCATTGACAGTAGCCCACCAGGCTCCTCTGTCCATGGGATTCTCCAGGCAAGAATGCTGGAGTGGGTTGCCATTTCCTTCTCCAGGGGAATCTCCCTGACCCTGGAATCAAACCCGGGTCTCCTGGATTACAGACAGATTCTTTACCAATTGAGCTACAAGAGAAGCCCACAGCATAGGGTGGTGAAAGTTAAATGAATTAATTCAAATAAAAGTGCTTAGTACAGTGCCTGTCACATAGTAGGTGCTCAATAAATAATAACATAGTTTCATTATGTCACCTTCAAAGCACTTTGGTTGTAATTTGCTAACGATTGATCTTCTGGGGAAGCTGAGGCAGTTGAACTGTTAAATGTGAATAGTATCTTACTCAAAATCGAATGAATCTGAGAGTTCTGTTGATCCCTTCTCTCTGGATTCTGGGATTTATAGACCTGCGTGAAGTTGCAAAGTTGCATTGCATTCAGGTACTTTATTCCTAGTAGGCTTCACCCTCGAAAGTTCATGAAAGGGTATCTCCTGAGTAATTGCTTAAACACAGATCTGTGCATTGGATGCCTAGTCAAATGTTTGACCACTGTCTAAGTTGGTGTTTAAAGGAAGTTTCTTCTTGCAAACATGCAAAGAGCCTTTCTAAGTACTCCAGGAGACCTTGCTGTGGAGCAGGGGACTAGGGGAAGGGAAATGAATATGATGTATGATTTGTGGATAACCTTATTTGTTTCCAGACTCTACTGTTGCCAAAAGAGAGACTAGAGAGCCAACACCCATTATGAGTGTTTGTGACAGAACAGTTTTTTATGACTGTGTTCACTAATGCTAATACCTACACTAACATTGATATTTACTAATGCTGATGTTAATTCCAACTTCTATCATCTGTAGATGCCACTCTGTGCCAAACCCTGACTCTTCTAACAGAAAATTGAGATTCAGGGAGATAAGCAACTTTCCCAACCCAAGGATATAGAGCAGCTAGGTGGAAGTTCAGAGGCACACATCCAGCCGTGATTGATACGAAAACCTCAGTTCTTAACTAGGACACTGTTCTGCTTTTCACTGTGCAATGGGGAGAAGACACACACAGAGCTAGAACTGAACTCTTGCAATACACCATTTGACCTGGAATTTGGCTCATTTAACTCATAAGCTTGCTTATAGCAGCGTCTTTGGGAATACTTGTAGAGAAGGCATGTTAATTACACTGTAAAGTGGTCTTGATGCTCTCTCATCATACATCATTTTTGCTCTAAATATTATTGTTATAAGTAATGATAGACCTATTCTGGGCAATAGACCTAGCTTTGACCATTTCTTCTCTTGTTAGTTGGCTGTCTAACCTTGGGGAAGTTAGTGTTCTCAGCTGTACAAGGGGGATGGTTATATCTTTACAGAATATTTGTCAGAATTTTTAAATATATAACTTGTACCTAGTGGAGGCTGGGTCCATAAGTGGGCAGTCGACAAATATTCGTAGATTTTATGTTTTCCTATGTAAGGACAAAAACAGGAAGCTGGAACCTAAGGGATCCTCCAGGAGCCCCTTCCTTAAGCTTTTTTAGAAAATTGCAAATGTAGTAGAAAGAGTATATACCTAGGAATCAGACAGAGCTGAATTCAGACCCAAGCTTTATTATTTACTGCTTTTATGACATTAGGCAAGTTGCTTGGCCTCACTGAGCCAGTTCCTTCATCTATAAAATGTATTCTTAAGAAATATATATATATACATATATTTCTTTTATATATATTTTACATACTATATATACAATATATAAAAATAGGCCCTCAAAAATACTAGTGCCCATTCCCATCCACTTATCTTCATCAAGCACCTCCTCCCTAATCATGGCTCTGGATAACTTTCAGTTGTTTACAAAATTTTAATTTCCTTAGGAAAATGTTGCCATTATTGAGGATGGTCCAAAGAGTGTGATGAATCAGAGTCAAATAAAAATTTCCGTAATATTTTGAGTAGTAATGGCAGTACTTTGGGGAAAAGTGCAGAGTCTCCCCAGGGGTGTGTCAAATAAGTTTGTTACTTTCAACACACTTATTTCAAACTTATTTGAAAGTAACATATGCTGGCATTTGAAAAAAAAAAATCAATCCTATAACTCTAACCTTTATAAAATGGAATGCAACAATATCTAAATCAAGTCTGGATGTCTGTTTCCAACATATTTTATACTTCAGGGCATCTCCCAACAGAGGAACACATAATTTTCCTTTTAAAGTGCTTATATTTTCATTTGCCCAGAGCTGTAATGAATGATTTGTGGTCACATTTTTTTTTGCCTACAGTGCAGAGTGAAGTTACCAGTTAGGCATCTCAAAAGCCCAGAAATCATTTAAGTCATTCCTTTGGTAGGGAGCTGATAGCTAATTTTCAAACCTGTATTTTTTTCAGTTTTTTTTTCCCAGTTAATTCGCTGTTTACTACATATTAAAAATGTATGCATCCCATGATAGTGTAGTAAAACTAAAATTAAAACAATCACATTGACACTTCCAAAGACATAAAACAGGCCAATATTCTGTGAAAGTTAACCATTTCTCAGGCTTCACGATTGCTTAAAATTTTTCATAATCATTCTTTGCTCCTTCAATGAAGCACTTTTTAAATCATGTGATCTCTCTTCATTGTGTCAAAATATTTTCATTAAAAATATCCCATAGCCAAAAATAAAAGTCAAGATAACATTAAAGGTAAGTGACAATCATTTTGGTGAAGCTGACAATATGGTGAAAACATTTCTGCCAGAACGTCCTACCAATGAGATCTTCTGTTGACACTGAGGGCCACCCCCACCCCAGAAATTCAATCAAGAACTTAGTAGACTTAGGACAATATGCAGCATCTTTCCTTGCCTCAGGCTGGCATCTAGTAAGAAACCTACCTTCTGAGCGGAGAGAGCCTTGGACCAGGTGCCTTGTGGTCCAGATGGAGGCAAGAAGCAACCCCAGACTGAAGAACTTGGACATTGTGCCAGCACCTTCAGAGCCAGAGAAGCAGGCCAGATGAGCACTGGTAGTATCAAAGGCAGACAATAATCACCAGTGGCTGGAGACTTCTGGAAATATGTGGGGCCCCCACTGCTCTGCTTCATAACCGAGACATCCGGATTTTCCTGCTTTCAAGCCTCTGACTTGTCAAGGTCACTAGGGGGAAATGAGTGACGTCCTTGTAAGCCCAGGCTGTACTTTGTGGAAGGCTTTCTGGAAAATTTAGCTAATGCTGACTCAGAAAACACACAAATGAGGAAGGCAGAGAGCACAGGGTGAACTGTTGGAGGTTTCCCCCATTCTCATATCCCCTGCCACCACCCATGTCCCCCCCAGCTCAGTTCCTATCTGGTTCATTGTTACTGTCTGTGTAGCTGCTCATTTATATACTCGTAGGAATGTCTCCGTCTCTAAAGGGGACTGAACATGGATTGCGCTTCTTTTCCTCCTATGATCAGTGGGTTTTTTTTTTTTAATCCCCCAATTGCATATCCTTGTGATCTGTAGGGAAATGAGGCTAAGAGTCATGAAAACAAATGATTATTTAAATACCAAGAACAGAATCCTCATGCTCCCTTTTCGAGATTTATCATTTGAAATTTCTACCCCACTATAGGTGATTCCTGCTTCAAAGAAATCAGACACATTGAAGATTCATACAAAACATGACTAGGGGGGCAATTTATAAAATCAGTAATACTTTACAATAGCAATCACCACAGAGGGCCTTTATATAACTTTCTCTTTAATAACTTCTCATATTCTGGTAGGTGAAAATTCAACTCAGACTTCCCCTCTCTTGTTTGATGAGTGTGAGATTTTTCTGCACGTGTACAAGCAGTCTGCATGCTCTCTTTTCCCAGCTAGAGTTTCAGTGGTTTATCTCCCATGGTAATTATGGAATTCGGGCTTGAGAGTAATGCCTTGAGCAAAGGGTTATTAGTTTTCTCCAAAAGGAATGTCATTTTCAGGAATAGTGTATAAGGACTTCTCTGGTGGTTCCAGTGTTTAAAATACCATGCTTCCAATGCAGGGGATAAGGGTTGGATCTTTGGCTGGGGAACTAAGATCCCATGTGACTCAAGTGTGGCCCAAAAAAAAAAAAGAGGAGTAGTATATGGGTAACTAGTTCTTTCCTTTACAAATGGTATTGGTCATGAAGTTAGATATTTGTGTGGAAGATACCAACATGAAAGGAGAATCTGCTCTGCAGAGGCATAGAGCACGTCTATGTAAATAGGGTTGGTTTGTGCTCACTCAGTCATGTTGGACTCATTGCAGCCCCAAGGACTGTAGCCTGCCAGGTTCTTCTGTCCATGGAATTTTCCAGGCAAGAATATTGGGGTGGGTTGCCATGCCTCCTCCAGGGCATCTTCCTGACCCAGAGTTCCAACCAGTATCTCTTGCATCTCCTGCATTGGCTGGTGGATTCTTTACCAATAGCGCCACCTGAGAAGCCCAGAGACCAGGGGACTTACCTTAATATACCTTAAATAGCTGTAGTTTAGACTTCATTACTTGAGTGAGCACAAGACCTAGGCTACAGGGACCTCAGAAACATACATGACTCTATCACCATGGAGCCAGGGAGACAGGAAAACAGGAATTGTGTCCTCTTCATCATAATCCTTAAAGCTAGCATCACACCTGAAAGAGAGTTAGCTTTCAAGCATTTGATAAAGTATTACAAAGAGGAAGAAGGAAGGAAGACAGGAAAGGAAAAGAGAATTATGAAAGGATCTCCTATTCAAGGTCAACTGCACTATGCAACATAACAGGAGTGATGTCTCACATTCAAAAGTTCCAGGGAGGAGGCTAAACAACACGCTTCTGAATAACCAACAAATCATAGAAGAAATCAAAAAAGAAATCAAAATATGCATAGAAATGAATGAAAATGAAAACACAACAACCCAAAACCTATGGGACACTGTAAAAATAGTACTAAGGGGAAGATTCATAGCATTACAGGCCTACCTCAAGAAACAAGAAAAAAGTCAAATAAATAACCTAACTCTATACCTAAAGCAACTAGAGGAGGAAGAAATGAAGAACCCCAGGGTTAGTAGAAGGAAAGAAATCTTAAAAATTAGGGCAGAAATAAATGCAAAAGAAACTAAAGAGATCATAGCAAAAATTAACAAAGCTAAAAGCTGGTTTTTTGAAAAAATAAACAAAATTGACAAACCATTAGCAAGACTCATTAAGAAACAAAGGGAGAAGAACCAAATTAACAAAATTAGAAATGAAAATGGAGAGATCACAACAGACAACACTGAAATACAAAGGATCATAAGAGACTACTACCAGCAGCTCTATGCCAATAAAATGGACAACTTGGAAGAAATGGACAAGTTCTTAGAGAAATATAACTTTCCAAAACTGAACCAGGAAGAAATAGAAGATCTTAACAGACCCATCACAAGCAAGGAAATCAAAACTGTAATCAGAAATCTTCCAGCAAACAAAAGCCCAGGACCAGATGGCTTCACAGCTGAATTCTACCAAAAATTTAGAGAGAGATAACACCTATCTTACTCAAACTCTTCCAGAAAATTGCAGAAGAAGGTAAACTTCCAAACTCATTCTATGAGGCCACCATCACCCTAATTCCAAAACCAGACAAAGATGCCACAAAAAAAGAAAACTACAGGCCAATATCACTGATGAACATAGATGCAAAAATCCTTAACAAAATTCTAGCAAACAGAATCCAACAACATATTAAAAAAATCATACATCATGACCAAGTGGGCTTTATCCCAGGAATGCAAGGATTCTTTAATATCCGCAAATCAATCAATGTAATACACTACATTAACAAATTGAAAGATAAAAACCATATGATCATCTCAATAGATGCAGAAAAAGCCTTTGACAAAATTCAACATCCATTTATGATTAAAACTCTCCAGAAAGCAGGAATAGAAGGAACATACCTCAACATAATAAAAGCTATATATGACAAACCCACAGCAAGCATCACCCTCAATGGTGAAAAATTGAAAGCATTTCCCCTGAAATCAGGAACAAGACAAGGGTGCCCACTTTCACCACTACTATTCAACATAGTTTTGGAAGTGTTGGCCACAGCAATCAGGGCAGAAAAAGAAGTAAAAGGAATCCAGATAGGAAAAGAAGAAGTGAAACTCTCTCTGTTTGCAGATGACATGATCCTCTACATAGAAAACCCTAAAGACTCTACCAGAAAAATACTAGAGCTAATCAACGAATACAGTAAAGTTGCAGGATATAAAATTAACACACAGAAATCTCTTGCATTCCTATACACTAACAATGAGAAAACAGAAAGAGAAATTAAGGAAACAATACCATTCACCATTGCAACAAAAAGAATAAAATACTTAGGAGTATATCTACCTAAAGAAACAAAAGACCTATACATAGAAAACTATAAAACACTGATGAAAGAAATCAAAGACGACACAAACAGATGGAGAAATATACCGTGTTCATGGATTGGAAGAATCAATATTGTCAAAATGGCTATACTACCCAAAGCAATCTATAGATTCAATGCAATCCCTATCAAACTACCAACGGTATTTTTCACAGAACTAGAACAAATAATTTCACAATTTGTATGGAAATACAAAAAACCTCGAATAGCCAAAGTAATCCTGAGAAAGAAGAATGGAACTGGAGGAATCAATCTGCCTGACTTCAGACTATACTACAAAGCCACAGTCATCAAGACAGTATGGTACTGGCACAAAGACAGAAATATAGATCAATGGAACAGAATAGAAAGCCCAGAGATAAATCCATGAACCTATGGTCACCTTATCTTCGATAAAGGAGGCAAGGATATACAATGGAAAAAAGACAACCTCTTTAACAAGTGGTGCTGTGAAAACTGGTCAACCACCTGTAAAAGAATGAAACTAGAACACTTTCTAACACCATACACAAAAATAAACTCAAAATGGATTAAAGATCTAAATGTAAGACCAGAAACTATAAAACTCCTAGAGGAGAACATAGGCAAAACACTCTCCGACATAAATCACAGCAGGATCCTCTATGACCCACATCCCAGAATTTTAGAAATAAAAGCAAAAATAAACAAATGGGACCTAATGAAACTTAAAAGCTTTTGCACAACAAAGGAAACTATAAGCAAGGTGAAAAGACAGCCCTCAGATTGGGAGAAAATAATAGCAAATGAAGCAACAGACAAAGGATTAATCTCAAAAATATACAAGCAACTCCTCCAGCTCAACTCCAGAAAAATAAATGACCCAATCAAAAAATGGGCCAAAGAACTAAACAGACATTTCTCCAAGGAAGACATACAGATGGCTAACAAACACATGAAAAGATACTCAACATCACTCATTATCAGAGAAATGCAAATCAAAACCACAATGAGGTACCATTATACGCCAGTCAGGATGGCTGCTATCCAAAAGTCTACAAGCAATAAATGCTGGAGAGGGTGTGGAGAAAAGGGAACCCTCTTACACTGTTGGTGGGAATGCAAATTAGTACAGCCACTATGGAAAACAGTGTGGAGATTTCTTAAAAAGCTGGAAAAAGAACTGCCATATGACCCAGCAATCCCACTTCTGGGCATACACACCGAGGAAACCAGATCTGAAAGAGACACATGCACCCCAATGTTCATCGCAGCACTGTTTATAATAGCCAGGACATGGAAGCAACCTAGATGCCCATCAGCAGATGAATGGATGAGGAAGCTGTGGTACATATACACCATGGAATATTACTCAGCCATTAAAAAGAATTCATTTGAATCAGTTCTAATGAGATGGATGAAACTGGAGCCCATTATACAGAGCGAAGTAAGCCAGAAAGATAAAGACCATTACAGTATACTAACACATATATATGGAATTTAGAAAGATGGTAACAATAACCCTATATGCAAAACAGAAAAAGAGACTCAGATGTATAGAACAGACTTGTGGACTCTGGGAGAAGGCGAGGGTGGAATGTTTCAAGAGAACAGCATCGAAATATGTATATTATCTAGGGTGAAACAGATCACCAGCCCAGGTTGGATGCATGAGACAAGTGCTAGGGCCTGGTGCATTGGGAAGACCCAGAGGGATCGGGTGGAGAGGGAGGTGGGAGGGGGGATCGGGATGGGGAATACATGTAAATCCATGGCTAATTCATTTCAACGTATGACAAAAACCACTGCAATGATGTAAAGTAATTAGCCTCCAACTAATAAAAATAAATGGAAAAAAAAAGTAAAAAAAAAAAAAAAAAGATACTGATGAAAGAAATTAAAGATGAACAAATAAATGGAAAGATACACAAAAGTTCCAGGGAGTGAGGTGTAGAAGACATCTTGAGGTGAGGTACTTCAGAAATTCTGTCAACCATAGTTCCCTACCTTCATTGAGACCCCGATTCTGCTTCCTAGGAGAAAGGCCCATGTCCCACGTCTACTGTTCTGTGTAGCTCTTTGTTGGATAGAATCTTCCTTGGCCACATTTGTAGTGGGAATTACAAATTCCCCCAAGGCTTCCTGGGGGTAGCACAGCTTGTACAGTCTGCTTTCTGCTGATGTGAGCTTAGGATGCCAAAAGTTGTTTTCTAACTTAACAATTGAAGGAGGTTTTAGTCGTGGCTTGTATCTCTTTGTAAATACTGCTGCTGCTAAGTCGCTTCAGTCGTGTCTGACTCTGTGCAACCCCATAGACGGCAGCCCACCAGGCTCCCCCATCCCTGGGATTCTCCAGGCAAGAACACTGGAGTGGGTTGCCATTTCCTTCTCCAATACATGAAAGGGATAAGTGAAAGTGAAGTTGCTCAGTTGTGTCCGACTCTTAGCGACCCCGTGAACTGCAGCCTACCAGGCTCCTCCGTCTATGGGATTTTCCAGGCAAGAGTACTGGAGTGGGTTGCCAGTTGTAAATACTACTCCTTCCCAAACAGGATTCTGGTCTATTTGCTTCCATTTGATATCACGTGCCAGTAATCATACCCCAAATCCTTTCCCAGTCACAATGCTCAAGATGATTTTTTTTTTGGTCTCAGCCACATGCCCCTCTCTCTAATTTAGTGGTGGCTATTGAGTTCATTTGAAAACCCAGATGGAAGGACCATACCCTGACTCTGACCTTTACCATAGGGCTGATCTGATCTGGATTCAGCTAAAAAGTTTTCCTTGTTCTTTTTCATTCAAAGCTCTTTTCAGTCTAATTGGGCTTTAGAAACAATAAGGTTTTCTAACCCTTCAGTCTAAGAACTCTGTATCCTTTTTCCTTTCTGTTTCTGTTTCAATTTATCCACTTCTTTCCCAAGTACTTCTTTTTCTTGTAATCTCTCTCAAAAGTCAGCCAAAAAGGGTTCACATACTTCAATACTCTGATTCTTTTCAGCCGCTTCTCCTAGAGCTATAGGTTGCCCATGGACTGCCTTTAAGTTATCATGGGTAAGACTTTACCTATTACTTTTGTTTTATTCACAGCACAGGTCACCATATTTCCAGTCCCTGATATCCAGTGTTCTGGTTTCCTGCCACTTGACTGCTAAGTCAGTGTCTCCTATTTTGAAAATTTGTCCTTGAAGTTCCCTATTTCTGCTTCTGTATGTGTTAGTCAGGGTAGGCTAACTGCTATAATAAACATTCCTGAATTTCTGTGGCTTAATATGCTAAAGTCTTATTCCTTGCTTGTCAGTTGAATTCTGTGAATGCCCATACGAAGACTCGGGTCCTACTTAGTGGTGCCACCAACTTCTTGGCCCTCAGGCTCTGAACTGAATGCTCTGAGTCTGGCAGGCAGAAAGGGGACTACAGGGAATATAAGGTACTGCGCACGAGAGTCTGTTTAGGAAACTGGATCTGGAAGGTTCACATTTGCTTGCCCCTCGCTGCAAGAAAAGATGAAAAAGATTGTCTAGCTGTAGAAATCAGATTGGTAAAAGCCAAGCAGTCTCTATCACAGAAAAAATGTACTAAAAAAAAAAAAAAACAACACAACACAAAACCCAGGAAGATATGGGAAACTAGGGTCAGGAATGAGGATGAGGAGAGGAATTGATCCAGCCCCTGGAAGTGACCTGGTGACCCAAGGACTGGGAGGCTCTGTCACCCAAAGGTAGCTTCTAGTTCAGAGTTGGGCAAGGTTCTGACTCAGCTCCACAAAATGAGGAGGCATTTGGCTGCTGCCAAAGGTTTGGAAATGTGCTTTTATTTTCAAACTCAGGTACGTGACACTCTATAGTTCAATGCTAGCACACCTGTGTGAGGCTTAACAACATTAGGAACTGCCAGCCAGTGATACATAAACCCCGCGTCTCCCTCTCCTCTTACTCCGCCAGGCTGTGCGCGGGAGTGACACAGAAAGTGGAGGTCCTTTAGGAGGGGACAGCGCGGCACCAACAGCAGAGTCCTAGGGCCAAGCAGAAATGTCAGGCCTCAGAGGCATGGTGAAGGAAGGGGACTTTTATTTCTGACCATTATCACTCACTGTTGCACATACAGGGCCTGTTTCTCTCCATGTCACTTCTGCTTTGGCAACAGTTCCAATTGCATTAGGTCCATCTTCGCTTTTAAGAAATACCGAGGAGTCCTGTTTCAGGAATGCCCTTGGTAATGTGATTACTCGTTTGTTCCTTCTGGTCACTTCTTGTCCTTGACCTCCCTTAATCATACAGTTGTTTGGCTGAGGGCCTGGTCTGGAAGCATTCTTGCAGGCCTTTCTATGAAGCGGCTGGAGGCTCAAGAGCTCACTGCAGCTCCTCTCCCGGCCTTTGTCTCAACCGGAAACAAAGGTGGGAACCCTGTGGCCAAGTGGGCAGTGGGTCAGCTCAGCCCGGTCCTTCTTCAAGGCAGGCTGAGACTGGCCAGCCCAGAGTCCTGCCTCACAGCCACACTCTCCAGAGCTCTGCTTACATCCTGCCTTTGGCTCTGAGGACCTAAAGCTCCTTCGGTGTGTCTGATCCCCCGTGAAGAGGTAGGGCAAACCATCCATCCATGAATCCAATGTCTGTCTGCCTTGATCTGCGCCTCTTTACCTTAATGACACATCCTTGGTCAACCCTGGCTTGGATTTCTCTCACAGTGGTCTTCTTGCCACCGAAAAGGGTGCCCCCCTCCTCCCAAAAAACAAGCTGTTTTACTGGGGGGCCTGATCTAGGTGGGTCATTCTGAAAGAAGTGGTTGCTTCAAGCCCAACCCTTTAGTTTGGAAATGATGGTGTTAGGTCACAGAGTAGATTGAAAAAATACTAATAAGTTGAGGTTAATAAAGATGCGAATTCTCTCATTCACCATTTGAGATGGTGGTGGTGAGGATGCTGGTGCTGGGAAGTATGCAAAATGTCAGCTGCTCCCAGACTGCTCTCCACCACCTTGCACACTCACTCATTCTTCTGACCAACATTAAATGACACCCTCCCAAGCATCAGCCACCATGCTAGGCACTTACCCAGAGAATGGGTAAGACATGGTTCTTGTCTTTGAGGAAAAACACTTGGAAAGACAGACACATAAATAAGTTATTAATATTATGATACACTGTAGTAATGTTCATTAGTAGTAGTAATGAAAATGCTTTAAAAGTGCCAGAAAGTACAGAGAAGGGTATGACCTATTAATGTGGTCTGGTGTGGAGTTGGAGGGAGGGCATTAGATCTGCATGGAGCAGGTGATTTTCGCACTTGGTCCTGAAGAGTGACCAGAAGAAAAGAGGAGCACGGTGGAAGAAACACGAGTGTGAGAAAACAGTCTAGTTTGGGAACCAGAAATGACTTGGAGTGGCTGAAGTGCCACCTGGGGGTGTGGGGCTGAAACAGAACATGTCCAGATAGAAGACCTTTGAAGAGGCAATTTAGTGCAGGGTTAAGAGTACAGCCTCTGGGACCAGCCTGGCTGGGTTTGACTTCCAGCCCCATGGGTATCCTTGGCAAATTACTTGTGTTTTTGTGTTCAGTTTCCTTATGTGAAAATGGGAAGTGTCATAGCTTTTTTTCCTTTTTCTTGAGGACACAATGAATGAATCCTTATATGATACCAGTGTTTGGCTCATAGTAAGTTCTACATAGGGTCAGCAACTAAAACAAATGACAACAGCAAAACAAAAGCAAAGACATCACTACAAAAGCCACACAGAAACCAACACTCCCCAGATCTGATGTGGCAAGGAGGCAGGCAGTGGCTATCCAGGTGGAGCAAGAAGTCAAGCTGCAGGTAGGATTGGCTCTGTTTTCTGCTAAGCAATGGGAAAGCTCCAAGACCTACACCTGGGCTGGGAATCCCACTGAAACTGGAGCACTGTGGCAGAGATGCACACTTGCCCGTGGGCACAGCGGAGTCAAAGCACACTGTGTTTCCTCCTTTCTCAGAAAGAGCAAAGTGGGGATAGACCATGCTGTAAGCATGCATGTGTGCTCAGTCGTGTCTGACTGACTGTGACTCCATGGACTATAGCCTGTGAGGCTCCTTTGTCCACGGAATTGTCCAGGCAAGAATACTGGAGTGGGTTGCCATTTCCTCCTCCAGGGGATCTTCCCAACCCAGGGATCGAACCTGTGTCTCCTGCATTGGCAGGTGGGTTCTTTACCCCTGAGTCACCCGGGAAGCCCCCACCACGCTGTATAGCAGCTTAGAATTAACACTGGAAATGGAGACCAGCAAGTTCACCACGCAAGTCATGAGTTTTCAGTATTTCTCAAACATCGTAAATCCACGTGGAGAGCTCACTGAACAGGTAAGTGCCTGGTGACTGCCCCACACGTAGTGAAAAATCTGTGGGTTGGCTTTCTGCCCAACACACACCCAGAGCATGCATTTGGAGGATAGTTGACTTCATGCATGTGTGAGCTGTGTGTGTGTGGGTGTGTGTGTGTCTATTGTATGTGTACAGAGGCATATGTATTAATTTACATCTTCCCATTTCATTTCAAGCACTGAGCTAAAATCAGCCTAAATATTTTTGTGAGAAACCTGTCCGTCTTCTGTAAAGAGAAACTCTGATTGCCATGGGGAGGCGGGGAGGCTGAAGGAGTGTCAGTAAGAATGAGATGTGAAATGGGAAGATACTCATGTTGCTATTCCAAATTCCAGGTCTGATCCTCAGGGCAGAGTTAGCCCTTAGGCACAATCGTTCCTAATTTCCGATGGGTTGTAGAGAGGAAAACCAAGGAGAGTGGGCTTTTCACGTCCGCCTGTGAGGAAGGTATTTTGTTTCTCCCCAGCCATCTGAACTGGCGCAGCCACCTTCCCTTCTCTTCAAGTCCTGGTGATGGCTACTTCTTTGTCCACTGATGCTTTTTGTTGATCCTCCAGGAACATCAGCTATTGTGTGTGAATAGCTCCCACAGGGGTGCCAAGTGTGAAAGAACCCCTGCTCGTTCCCCTGAGGGCAGCAGTGGCATGACCATGCCCAGGCCCTACGCATCACGCTTGAGGAAAGGGCGGCAGGCTGTGTGCTGGAGCAGGGCACTGATTGAGCGTCGGGTTTTCTACTGCTCTGTAGGCTGCTCATGCTGCAGTCCTGAGCTCCACCAGGAGTCCCGTTGGGCTGCCGAGCACGTGGATTTCCCAAGGGACCCGTCGGCCTGCTCTACGCAAGAGTTATGGGACCCGTAGAGCCCCAGCACGACAGTCAAGACCAGCATCGCCGCGGCCATCATCCAGATGACTTGCCAATGCTGACACAGTTTGGGATACATGACTTGTAAGAAATGAACCAATTCTTCAAGTTTGCTGTCAAATGAAAAAAATAGGTGGAGGGTTTAGTATATTGGACACATATAAGATGCCCCGACCCACACTTCCGTCTGGAATACCTTCCATGTTGTCTTGAGCCGTGGTTCTCAAACTCAGCTGTGCAGAGTTGCTTAGCAGTAATTATTCAACATACCCCAGGACTACAGACTAAGAATCTTCAAAGGTATGGCCTAAGAGTCTACAGTTTAAAACATTTCCCCAGGTGATTCTGATGCTAACAGTCCATAACCTTTATATTAGGAGTGACTGGGCTAGACCACTCTATGTGTGTGATCATTCAGCCTTTCACACATGCCCTCATCTATTCACGACATGGTCACTGACATCTGAACTCCCCCAAGGCCCAAGATCCAGGTTGGCTGACCCAGACTCCCATGCATCCATGCAGACCCAGCATCTTTTCTGTACTTAGTGTCACTAATATAGTGATCGGCTCCAAGTTATAACCTGTTCCCTGCCTCCATGTTCAGATGCATAATTTGTTGTGCTCAGTTCCACATATGACCATGTCCAGAGTGGAAGGACTGTGATAAACTCCTAGAAGACTCTTGATGTTGAATAATAAATGACATGGAACCAGAAACCTCAAGAGCTCACTTCAAACCATCCCAGGGGCTTCCAGAGAACGCCTAGCCTCCCGCAACCTCAGGGTGACTTATTCAAGTATTTCCTCAGTCCTAGTAATCTTCCTTCCCAGTAAAATAGACATCCAACAGGAATTTGCTGTATGGTTCAGGAAACTCAAATGGGGGCTCTGTATCAACCTAGAGGGGTCGGATGGGGAGGGAGATGGTAGGGAGTTTCAAAAGGGAGGGGATATACGTATACCTATGGCTGATTCATGCTGAGGTTTGACAGAAAACAACAAAATTCTGTAAAGCAATTATCCTTCAATTAAAATATATATATATATATATAAATTTAAAATAAATCTTCCTTTCCAAATATCTCTTCCTCCACTTTCTCTGGTCGCTCCACACTTTTCTCTCCCTTCTCAGCTTTCTCTCTCTTCTCTTTGCCATTCATCCCCTCACCTCTGCTCTTTGCCTGTGTCCCCCCCGCACCCTTGGCTTCCCAGGTGGCTCAGATGGTAAAGTGTCTGCCTGCAATGAAGGAGACCCAGGTTTGATCCCTGGGTTGGGAAGATCCCCTGGAGAAGGAAATGGCAGCCCACTCCAGTACTCTTGCCTGGAAAATTCCATGGACAGAGGAGCCTGGTAGGCTACAGTCCATTGGGTCAGAAAGAGTCGGACACAACTGAGCGACTTCACTTTTACTTTCTTTCCCCCCTCCTTTCCTTCTTCTTCTCTTCCTGACTACCTTTCAACTTTTCCACTCTTTTTTTGTGGTCCAGTGAAAAGATGGTTGGATGGCATCACTGACTCAATGGACCTGAGTTTGAACAAGATCTGGGAGTTGGTGATGGACAGGGAAACCTGGTGTGCTGCAGTCTATGGGGTCGCAAATAGTTGGACACGACTGAGCGACTGAAGTGAAAAGACATTTGGTCAGATGGCCCACTTGGAAGAGTCCATTCTTAAAGCTTTCTGGAGAAGCCTTGGACACATTCATTACACTGGAATTTCTTCCTGTTTCTAATTCCAGTTTGATCGATCTATCTATCTAAAACTGAGAATACTGAGCATCACTAAATGGAGAAGGTGAGAAGTGACAGGAGGGCCTTCTCCAGATCTTGAGGTTCACACAGACCCTGAAATATGCAGGCCACTTGCTGAGAAGTAGACAGCTCTAGATGCCTTACGATGGGTAGAAAGATTAAACAAATACTGTCTGTACAAAGGGATCAGATGCTCAGAGTACCTGCCTTGGATGTTAAAGCATTGGTTGATTTCTTTTCCCCATGGGAAGCCACTGATAATTGTTTCAGAAGCAGTTAAGCAAAGCAAAACAGTGAGCACATGAGCCAAGGTGAAAATTATTGGCTATTTTCATAACTGTAGGGGAGAGAGAATTTGGAAATGGAAGCTTATTTTCTTTTGGCACCATTTTGATTCCTTAATATCTATTAAGATACAGTTGGATGCTATGGCACAGTCTTACTTTTGGACTGTATTTCTCTAGGCCCCAAAACAAGCTGCTGGAGCTGGAAGAATCCCACTCTCACTCCATCCTTTAGAGGGATTGGGAAGGAGGAGGGCAAGATAGGCTTTGTGACCCTCAGCTGGTTACCCATTTAAAGTCTATAAAAATGGTTAGAAATAGAATTATTGATTAGAAATAGAATTCCTTTGGAAATAAATTTTTGATTGTTCTGAGGTCTACCTACTCCTCCCTCACCTGGGCTAGGAGATGCTGCGTGGGGAGCTCAATACACTGCAGTTTGGGCACATGGTGAGTGGACTGGTGTGTGACTCCCACCCAAGGGATCTGAAGAATGAGAATCTTGCTGAACTATTTGATGCTATCTGAACAGGGGGCATGAGAGTGAGAACCATCCTCTCACCCCTAGGGGGCCAGAGATGCATATTTCACTTCAACTGGGTATAGACAGGAGAAGGAAAGCTGGCACAGGATGTCACAGACCTGGAAACACTACCCAGAAGCTGAGCACAGAAGGTACACTTCCAGCTGCCCAAGGACTGAGAGAGATTATAAGTAACCAGCCAGAAGAGCCGCATTTGACCTCACAAAGGGAATTGCAGTTGAGAGATCCTCAGTAATGGTGTATGTGTGGGGTTCTCTGAAGTTTCCATAAAACACCACACTGAACAAAATCAGAACATCAGGGGACTTCCCTCGTCCAGTGGCTAAGACCCTGAGCTCCCAATGCAGGGGGCCCGGGTTCAATTGCTGGTCAGGGAAATAGATCCCACAAAGCCACAACTAAGACCTGGCATACCAAATAAATTAATAAAAATAAATATTTTTTAAAAATCAGCTTTAAATCTCTGCTAAGGCCTGGAGCCCGCTCACAATAAGACCAGTGAAGTAATACCTTTCCTACCCTTAATCTCTGTCCCCTTTCCCAGCCCCGGAGAGGTCAGGTGCTGCATTAGCTAAGCTTGGTTGAGGGCAAGAGTGAGAGAGAGCAGAAGTCAACTCTGTCCCCACTATACGCTTCCTTCCTGAAGCAGAGCCAAGCTGACTGGAGGCAGGAAGGGATGGGTAAAAGGTTGAACTTTTTAAGTTCAGGATTTTGACTATTTCAGGGATCTAGCCATTTAAATGACTGAAATGAGGTTATTCTTGGGATTTAAAGTTGACCAGAGGACTTCTATTTTCTGAGAGTTATTGGAAAAGTAAAGGAGTCTGCCTAATATCATCTTAACCCCATGGAGCAGTTTTGAAGAGACACTGGGAGCCAAGACAACAGTTTTCTGTTGCATCTGAAGAGTCTCATTCATCCAGTGTATTACACAAATGTTAGAAGACCTGTGCTCTCTGTTTTAATATAGTTAGGATACTGGGTTGATTCACCCAAAGTTCACTGAAGCTGATCCTCCAGAAAGTAATATTGAGAACAGATTATATTATTATAATGGAGGAGAGATTCAGACAAAAAGACTCTGGTGTTTGAGGTTGAATGTCTTAAATAAGGGGTTGGCTGCTGGGGTGATCCCAGTGTTTTTAAAATGCACTAAATAGGACATAGAACTTTTCACAACTTCAGACCCTGCTTGTTAGTGAGATGCCAAAATTTCGTAGTGGGAATTATGCTTAAGTAGAGGTGCCTGCAGGCAACTGTGTGTGTTAGGGACTTGAGGATGAATGGGTTGTCTGGCATTCAAGACAATGGCTCTCAGTATTGGTCTGGATTGGGTGATGGGTGAGGAAGGGATCCTGTGACTGTGAGTGGGCAGTTTCTATGATAGCAGTGTCAGTCGTTATGGAGAAGATGATGCCACACTGCTGAGCCTGAACAGGTGAAGCTGCACCATGTGCTAAGGACCCTTCTGAGGGTGTGCTGATGCCTGGTATCCATTCCCTGAGGTCCAGGCATGTTCTTAAGATCAGAAAATGAATCTGAGAGGGAGCAGGGGTTGGGAGCGAGAACAAGGCCTTTCAGGATCAGCAGGACCAAGAGAACCCTCTTGGATGATGGATGTGAAGGGCAGCCGTTGCCGTGCACTGCTGACCAAGAGCTAGACAGGAGGAGAGCTGGGCACAGCCTCTCTTCTGCTGGGATTTCATGAATTAGGAGGGAGTCGCCAATGACCCAAGATCAAACCAGCTAGATAAGGTTTCCAGCCAATTTGTTTACATTCCATGTACTCTCTGTGTTCTGTTCCTTTTGTTTTTTTCTTGGTGTTTTGAAGGGTTAGAAGTCCCAGCCTGTCTTTTGTTTTGAAGGGAGCCAAAGAAAGGGCTGTTGTCAGGCCTGGGCTTGACTGAATTAAAGGAGAGGAGACAGTGTGGTGGCTCACAAAACGAGAGCAGAGGACCCCCAGGAGGGAGAGAAGACCGAGACAGACAGGACCCAGTCACTCAGAGCAGGGACTGTGCTTTGACTGTGAACACTGGGCTTCTCTCCCTAGAAGAGGTAGTGCATCCTAGCACAGGTTTGTTTCCAACTGTGAAACACTTTCTCTTCCCATGAACACTGGAGTTGACTCATGCAGGCTAATGCCTCTTACTCTGGTTGAATCTTCCAACTGGGCTCTTCTGCTTGTTCTTATATGCTTTGAAGCATATCCATCTCACTTCAAATCTGCATTTTATTACATGATATGGCATGCATATGATTTCCAGAGTCTTTTAGCAATGAGACACAGACAGCATACCCCATCCTAAATGAAGCAGTTGATTAGATTAATTGATCATTTTTGACTAAAATCATCCTGGACTGAAGGTAACCTGGGAGTCTAAAAGCAGTAATTTTGGTGAAGTGTTCCAAGTTAGCCGTAACTACATTTTAAAAATCCAAGACTCAAGACTTCTAGATTAAATGTGCTAATAGAGATAATGCTGCTGCTGCTGCTAAGTCACTTCAGTCGTGTCCGACTCTGTGAGACCCTATAGACGGCAGCCCACCAGGCTCCCCCGTCCCTGGGATTCTCCAGGCAAGAACACTGGAGTGGGTTGCCATTTCCTTCTCCAACAGAGATAATAGGGCCAGATATACAAAATTGGGGTCCTCCATTAAAATCCAGGACGTCAATTTGTCACTAGATCCATAGGGCACAGGCCGGGGAAGATGCTGGATCTACATTACCTTTATCTACATGTTACATAGACTTTTTCATAATTTTGCGGAAAATGCACTTAAAATATAAAGTATGTTAAAAAAGAAAAATCTGAGTATTTCCAATCCAAAGTAAAAACACTGTCCAGATGACCAAATTTGTGTGGTCACCATGGAAGGAACCTTTTGGAGACTCATGGTTGCCACATATCATATCTCCATGTGTTCTCTCCACCCCATCCTCCTCTAGGGCTTCAGGCCAACTCCCTTGACCTTGGATCTCTCATGGGGATGGCTGGGCAGTAAGTTAACTATGGTCTCTTGCATTTTCTCAGCTCTTAGGAACTCCTGACCCCACCCTTGGCCACCACTGACCCCTAAACCCTTGCCAACACCCCCTTGTTAACTACTTGGATTCTTTGGGATTCCCTCTGCCTACTCCTCCAACATGAGTTCCCTCTCGGTTTCTGTTGGCTGCTCACTTAGGCCCTAGACTGCCTTGGACTGGCCCCTCTAGGGACATTGTGCAGTGAAGAGAACTGAGACCAATTTTAGCAACTGTGAGGGCTCCAACCTGCTTCTCTGCTCCTTTTCCTCTTCCTCAGTTTCTTCTGCCTCTTCCGGCTCCTCGGGGATCTCACTCTTCTGTTCTTCTTCCTCCTCCTTCAGGTCTTGAAGCTCCTTGGTTTTCTTTAGACCTTCCTGGTATCTGGAAGGCCACAATGAACAACTGAGTCTGGAAAGGCCAGCAGATGCAGAGCATCCTTTCCCGAGTTGCCAGAGGAGGGGCACTGAGCACTTGCAGTGATTTTGCACTCACTTCCTGTGGCTCCACACAATAGGGAAAAGCCACCACATCCCACGGTGGCTCACATCAGGACGATTTCCCTTCACCCCCAGTCCTCCTTCCTGTTTATGTGAAAGTGTGACAAAACAGATAGGGAAAAAATGTGGGTGCAGTCTCCTGGCTAGATTCATCTCCAACAAACCATCTGAGAGGACTGAGGACTGCATCTGCTCTCTGTGTGGCCTTGGAGCCTGTGAAGAGGAGGGGCTGGCACCCATTGCATGGTGGCGGAGCGTTTTGAGAAAGTGACAAGAGTATAGCTTGGCCTAGAGAAGGTGCTCATACACAGGCCTGTTGGGAAGCTTTGCAGAAGTGAAATGCACACAAGTTCTCAGTAAATGGTCACAAAGCCAATGGAAGCATTCACTCCCCTCCTTTCTAAGTACAGAGGACAGGTATGGGTGAAAAGACAGGCTTTTCGAGAGAAATCTTGTGACTTCCTTCTCCCAGGATTAATATCACTCTGAACATACTTTTCGCTCGTCTAACAACCGAGTGTTTAAGGCCAGCAAAGTTGGGCTGGGGCAAACCCCACTATGGTGCAGGTGCCACCACACCAAAGCCCACAGGTTCCCTGTCAGAGAGAGGCTGCATCTCCCTCAGGGGCTACAGGGCAAGAAGCTCAGGGTGCAGTGCCTGGTCAGAGGTAGTTCTTTACCTGGCTGGGCTGGGGCCCTGCTCAGTATTCTGTCCCATCAGTGACTGACAACAGGCCAAAGGTGCTATTGAAGCTCAACTGGAGAAGGGAGTGGCTAGAAGTTGAGGAGACTCCTGTGACAAGAAGAAGGGATGACTGGGGCAGTTCTAGGAAGTGGGGCTGCAGCTGCTCCAGGACACTGCTGGCAGTGGCGTGACTGCTCTGGGCATGTGTCAGGAAGCCTCAGGCACCACCAAGAGGAACCCACCCAGAGCCTTTGACTTCCAGATCATTCTGGTGGCTTTATGCCTAAAAAGAGGGCAGTCTGGTTATTATCTAACCACACCCTCTTGCCCCATTTCCTCCTGTCTTTCCTGTGGAACAGTACTGCTCTTTCCTATATAACTCCTTACTCAGGCAAGGAGGTCCTGGGGCCATGAGTTGCTTCCCTAAATCCTTTAAGAAACAGGAAAGGTCTGTGGGAAGGTATCGTGCGAGATGTGCCAGGTGACCTCAGGGTGGCTGACAGCTGACTCACCCCTTGTTGTAGGCTTCTTCCTCCATCCTGGCCTTAGCCTCCTGGCTGATCCCCTCCAGGCAGCTTGGAGTCGGCACAGAAGCAGAGGATTCACAATCTGGGTCCCCATTCGTCTTTCCACTAGTGAGAAGGCAAGTACAGGACATCCTTTCAGGGACAGATAGGGCATCTGAAAACCAAACCGTGTCTTTGGCCTGTTCCTGGCCAGAAGTGAGGAAGCTCATTTGGGTTGAATCTATTTCAATCTTTCTATCTTGAGATAAGATTTTTTTTTAAAGGCCCTGGTCCATGAATCCTCCCTAGACCCCCAAACATCAGTACTGTACCAGCACCCCTTTTCCTTCCTGCTCTCAAACCCACTTTCATTCTTATTCCAGGAGATGTTGTGAGTAGACAGACAGCTATTGGGAGCTCCAGGGCACTAAGAGGAAGAAGATGGGGGTGGACCAGATGTTCAGAGTCATCCCATCCCTGCAGTCCATTTTCTGTTTCATTCATTTAAATATCTACCCAGGATTAAGTCACAGGCACCTTGTAATGTGCAGGGGAGACATTAGAAAACAAAAGAAAAAGTCTTAGCCAACATGGAGCACAGCAGGAGAAAATGCCCAAACAAGTCACACACACACAAAAATAAATAAAATTAATTACAAATTGTGATGACTTTTAGGAGAGAACCAAACTCTGGGCAATGACAGAAAATAACAAGGGAAGAATCTGCTTAGATTGAGTGGCTAGAAAAGGCCTCTCGGAGATGGAATAACAGACCTGAAAGATGAGAAGCCAGCCATGTCTATGGCAGAGGGAAGATCACCCCAGGTAGAGGACGCAGATGTGTGAAGACCTTGAGATATAAAAGATGTGAGGGACTGAAGAGAGGCAATGAAGTAAGAGTTAACTTCTGGACAAGACATATTTCTGATGCCTGTGAGGTATCTAGGTGGAGATGTCAAGTTGGTAGTTGTCGGTACCATAGTGTGTAAGAGGAGAGCTCTAGACTGGAGATATGCAGAAGATAGCTGGTACTTAATGCCAGAAGAATGGAAAAGAATGTCTAGGGACAAGTATGAGGAAAGATGAGATGACCCAGGACCAAGCCACATGCATGTCCACGCGTAGCTCAGGTAGAGGAGGAGGACCCTGCGAAGGAGCTGAGAAGTAGCAGCCAGAGAGATAAGAGGAGAACCCGCAGAGTGTGGAGTCCTGGGAGCTGAGAGAGTGTAAGCGGCTCTTTGTGGGAAACCTCCTTCAGCAGGAAGCCCCTTTTCTTGTCGCTTTAGCAAAGCTATGTTGTAACTAACCATTCATTCATTTATTCATGCCACACAGCATGTGGGATCTTGGTTCCTCGCCCAGGAATCAACCTACCCCACCCCACCCCACCCTGTGTTGGAAGCTCAGAGTCTTAACTACTGGTCTGCCAGAAAGTCCCTGTAACTAATTTTTAAACCAGGCGCCACCATGCTCTACTTATCTCTGGCTCAAGCACAACTTGTCTAACTTTTTGGTTCCTCCTATAGATCAAAGAGGTAGAAATGAAGAATAAGTAACAGATGACCAGATCTCTTCCCTAGCTCCCCCTTCAGTCATCTCCCAAACAAATCATGTGACCAAACTGCGTCGACAATATAACATCTAGAGTCAATGAGACTACATGCAGTGGGGGGATAGTGACCACTCCGACCCCCATCCCAATGATTAACTGAGATGACTTCCTTCCGTCCCTTTAAAGGTTTCCTGGCCATGCAGGATCTTCGGAGGTGGTTCTGGGGGGCAGTGAGTCCACCATCTTCACAGACTACCAGCATTCTGATGAAAGGCATTTTCCTTTCTACCACTTTATTGATTTTGTAAGTGGCGAGCAATGGGACCCTCTTCCCCCGCCCGTCCCGAACATGGAAAGCATGTCAAGGAGGGAGCATTGTCTCACACACACACTTCTGAGAATCTGACTCAGATGTGTATAGGAAAAGTGACTCTTGGATTGGATACCATGGAGGTCAAGAAGAGCTCTGGTGACACAGTAGGAGCCAAAGACAGATTGGAAAGGGCTGAGTGAAGACTGGGAGGTGAGGAAGGTGAAGACATAGACACAGGAAACTGACAGGGACCGGAAGTAGGGGGACGGTGTAGCTGAAGAAGTGGGTCAAAGGACAAAAGCACATTTGAATGTGGATAGAAATGATTCAGTAGAGGGGATGAGAGAAAATGGAGAACCAAAGAAATAAATCTGTTGAAAAGAAAAGTAGGGACAGACCTTAGAAAGGTAGAGAAACTTCTCCTTAGTCATAACAAAGGCAGGAAGGTGATGGAGATGGTGGGCTGGGAATCTGGAAAAGGAAGACAAGAGGAATCTTCTCATCCAAGAGCTCAAATTTTCTCTATAAAGTGGAAAAACAAGGTCATCTACTAAAAGTGAGAAGTAGGGAGGCTAGGCAATCTTGAGGAGGGAAGAGAAGGTGTAAGCATCATGACGTGGGGGTAAGGGGGACAAATGTGTTCGATTAAAGTAGGATAGCTGATGGGGCCAGGAGTCCATTTGAGGTATGAAATCACGAGTTGAAAGGAAATATCCTGATGGCCGTGCCTTCTCTATGGGTCCTGCAGCTCACCTAGGGGCCTGGAATTCCGATGGGAGTCTTGTCATGGCAGAGACCACAAACAAGGCAGGACAGTGACTAGGGCTTTGCAGCCAGGACTCTGAAGCTCACAGCTGCTACCCTCCCCGACCTTTCAGCCAGGCTTCATGAGTGAGTCTCCTCATTCTCGGCATCAGTTTCCTCGTCTTAGTTTCCTTCAGGCCTTGTAAAATTTACATTTGATCAGGTTGGAAACCAAAACCCATTGTGAACAAGAAAGAACACTCTAAAAATAGCTATTCATAACATTTCTCCTTTTAAAAATCACATTATCCACTCCCTTCTACATGACCTCTGCCTAATGTACAATTTCTTATTTTTCCAAACGATTGGAAAAAGAGCAGAAAAACAGAGCTACAGCCAAGGGCAGGGAAAGCCATTCTTTTACAAAATGTGGTGGTGGTGGTTTAGTCAGTTAAGTCGTGTCCAACTCTTGCGACCCCATGGACTGTAGCCGGCCAGGCTCCTCTGTCCATGGGATTCTCCAGGCAAGAATACTGGAGTGGGTTGCCATTTCCTTCTCCAGGGGATCTTCCTGATCCAGGAATCGAACGCGGGTCTCTGCATTGCAGGCAGATTCTTTACTGACTATGAGGGAAGCCCTTACAAAATATGGTAGGGGGTAAAATGTTTGCAGTTATTTCCTGACCCCTAGACTGAGCCTGTGTGTGTGTTAGTTGCTCATTTATGTCTGACTCTTTGCAACCCCATGGACTGAGCCCTCAGGCTCCTCTGTCTGTAGAATTCTCCATGCAAGAATATTGGAATGGGTAGCCATATGTTTCTCCAGGGTTTCTTCTTGACTCAGGGATCGAACCCAGGTTTCTTTTACTGCAGATTTTTTTTTTTTACCATCTGAGCTATCAGGGAAGCCCCTAGACTGAGCTTATAGTTCCTTATATATCTTCTCCAACTATCTGGAATCTTCTCCCCGTGCACTTCAAAGGCTTTGTTCAAATATATTTACCTTTGCGGAACTCTTGCTAATGTTTTCCTCTCTCTCATACCCTCTGGTTAAATTTGATCTCTCTCCCCCTTTATACCCTCAGGAAACCTCTTTTACAGCATAACTCAGAGCTATGGCACTTTTATACGGAACTCTTGCTAATGTTTTCCTCTCTCTCATACCCTCTGGTTAAATTTGATCTCTCTCCCCCTTTATACCCTCAGGAAACCTCTTTTACAGCATAACTCAGAGCTATGGCACTTTTATACACATGCTCTTCCTTCTGTAAGACTGTGATTGCAGAGAAAGACTGTGTTTCCGTTTGAATGATGCTTAGCACATGGGAAATGCCTTTAAGTGTTTGCTGAGCTGTATTGCCTTCACTGTGGCTCATCCCCTGCCAGTTAATCTTACCAAATGGGCAGGTCTTCTATGTAAATGACTCTTTCCTGAGAACTCAGTGTTTGGACTGAGCTGAAGGAAACCCTACGCATGGTTGTAAACTTGGAGCTGAGCACAGCCTGTGCCCCCCTAGAGATTTCTGGGCCAGACACTCATGGATCTTGGCATCTGTTTCCAGTTCATAATCTTGGGTGCTTTCTTCCCGAGATGACTGATTAGAATGAGGCTCATTGTTCTCTCTTGTCCACTGGGTCAAAAATGTTTGCCATTGTGCTTAGCTCTCAGTAATGTGAAGAGATATTTAGTCAAAATGTGTTGTTTGACCTGTAGATATATTAGATTCTATTTTTCCCACGTGGTCAACAGTATTTGAAAGCGACTCCAGTCCTTTCCCATGGTCAGATCTTACCTTCTCGGACTCAGCTATGTCTGTAAGCCACCCCCATTACCAAGGTTCCCTCAGACAAGTCCAGCCTGGGGGACCTTGGCTACAAGAACTTCCTTATTCTCGGTTACTCAGTCCCAGGTTCCTGGAGTTCACTAATAGGTTGATTGAGGGCTAATCCATTCCAGAATACTATCAGCAAAGGGGAACTGTTTAACTGTCTATATTTAATGTCATATAAAACCTTTAAGCAATTATCTCGACTGCTTCAAAAATGTAGAAAATGGTTATTTTACAGATTAAAGAGAGAATTGCTCTGTGCTATCGCAATATAATGGCCCCTTTTATGAAGCCAGCCCTGTGCACCATCCGCATTTATGATGGTACTGATCCTTCAGTGAATGGCTCTGTGAGAACTTTGCATTCCCACCCACTCCACCCTCCACTCCACGCCCAGTCACAAAGTTCTTTCACAATAGCTCACAGGAACTTTTTCAAAAATAGCCCTTAAATCCACTCCCTTCTTGCATGTCACACCGAATTTCTTCCCATTTTTCCAGTTGGAGTGTCTATTAAGAGGTTAAGCACATGAGATCTATTATCTACTAGCTGTGTATCCTCAGGTATGTGATGGTTTCTCTGAGTTTCAGTTTCCTCATCTATAAGACAAAGATATTAATAGTATACCTTCCTCATGGTATTATAAGGATTAAAGGAGATCATTAATGTAAAGCAATTAGAGCAGAACTTGGCATAAAATAAGCATGCAGTAAATAATAAGAGTAATTCTCATTATCTTCAATATTATTCCTTGATTACTCCATACTTTATTGCCTTAGCGCCTGGAATGTTATTAACCTCCTAGTTACCTGGTTAACTATTATAACCTTCAGGTTTCACTTTTAACATAAATTCCTAGAGGAAATGTTTTCTAAGCAATCCCCATTACCAAAACTGGGTGATGTGCTCATTTTCTTGTGTGTTGTTTCCTTATAACCTGTTCTTCCTTCTGATATCATTCATCACACTATATTGCAATAGGCTGTTTTCTATCTGTCTTTCCCATTATCCTGTGAGCTCCTTGAGTGCATTCCAGGTGCCTGGGTTTTGGTCATTAATTGGTGAAGAAATGAAAGAATATGAATAAATAGACTTTTCAAGTTATGAAACTGTTCTTGGGCCTTATTCTATTTTAATCTTTAATACTAATTTTAAATATCACTCTCTCTATTTTCCTCTAAGTCTACAGGTTCCTAGACCCTTGTTGAGTGAAGAACAGGTTTCTGTGAAGTCATCTGGAAGAACAAGGCTCGGAATTCTTTCAAGTTATTATTGGGAGTGCAGTCTGTGATCAGGTATTTGCTTGTGAACTATCCACAGGAAATATGATCTTCTCATCATCTTTCTTGTGCCTAGCCAATTCCCTACCTGCTCAATCATTGTATGCTTAAGGAAATGTGAGATCATTTAAATACAATAATCTAGATAGCAATACATATTAACTGATAATGCATTGTTTCTCTTTAACAGTCTGGAAAAGGCAGTTATAAACAACTGTATTTCTGTTAGAGTGGAAATTATGAATTCATTTTCCCTCACAGATTGTCTCATTGCTGATCTCTTGGCAATCTATTAGATATTTCCAGTTCCATAAATTTAGATCAAAATTACTTAGCATCTTTTAGAAATTCAGAGTGGGAAAGAAAAGAGAAAAAAAAGAAAGAAAGAAATCTAGAGCAGAGAGTTGCTGCTAATCTGAATCTCTCCTCTTTTGAATAGCCCCTCCCCTTTTAGCAGTCATCTGTATAGACTGGACGCATTCCCAACAGGCAAGTCAACCATAGCATGGGTAATGTATCACAGTGGTCTTTTTGAATAGCCCATAAGAATGAGCAGCACACAGTTGCTTCTTCAGGGCTTATTGCTCAACTAGGTTCAGTCCTCACTCTGTCCCTGTCTCTCCTGGTTCTATACCCTTGGAATGGTGCTGCCGCCACTGATCCTCATTCATTGCCACTCCTGATTCAGGGCTGCTGCCTACTGTCCCCAGTTTTGTACCTCATTTTCTCCTATTTAAGGACAGTTCAGATCCTTGATGATCTCTGCTGCCTCAGATGGAAGCTCTCAGCTGGCCTGAGCATTCGTTCTACAGAGTACAGGCCCTGCCCCATCCTAAAAGTCTGCTGGGGAGAAAGGGGATATAGATCTTCTGCCTTGACTGACTCTACAGGTTGAGGGTTGAGAATGGAGCCTTGTTAGGGCCTTCTTGGAAAAGGGGTTGGTGTGTCCTAAGGTGGGACTTCAAGGGAGAATTTTAGTGTGCTTCTCACTCAGGGCATCAGATGACCATTCCTGGAGAGATTCAGAGACCATGGACTGGACACTATGTCTCTAGGGACTTGGCAAGATTCTGTAGGCTCCATTACCTCTACACGGTTGTGAGTCTGTCAGCCCTTTACACTGTCCCTGTAGTCATCAAAAAAACAAAGAAACAAGCAAAACACCCTACTCAACATGAAGGATCTGTAAGCTTTCTCGGGGTAAGGTGGCAAGGTGAAAAACTGCCCAGCCAATGTCAAGATTAATGGGTAGAGAATGAATCACTGAGTGATAGGTTGGTGGTTGCATATACTGAGAAGTGAGGAAAACAGGCTGAGTCTGGGGTGGGGAGCTGGGAGCTTGCCTGTACTAAAAAAAGGCACACGACACAGACCTTCCTTGCCAGGTCAAGCAAAACTATTCTAACAGCAATGAAAAATGAAGTACTAAAGCTGTCTCAAGGCAAGGAAGAAGGAAGAATAGAGGTGTATGTTCTACCAAATGAAGAAAGACACAAGGGGAAAGTTCTGAGAGGTGGCAGCTGTGATCCAGATGTTTCCAGCAAGCAAATGAAAGAATTAGAAAAGCAAGTTATAAACTTCTCTGAGTATGTAGAAATAGCCTGCCTTGCTTCAGCTAGGGATGAAAAGAACTGCAAATAGCATAGATGCCTAGAAAAGTTACGTATAGCAGAAACTGTCTGTTACCAACCCATTATTCACTCTTCCTCCTATTTCCTAACAGCAACATGATTTTGCCTGGGAATTTGCTCTTCTTCATAGAGCCATTTGCTCCATGGGAAGCTGATCTTCTCTTCCCATCTCCAGGGTATAGTTTAAAACTATGACGACAATCTCATTGCCTGTGATTGGTTTAGAAAGGGACCATGTTCCAAATCTGCTAACAAGACAAAAAGGAAGACTGAAAGACTGGTTCCTAAGAAACAAACATGGGACAAGATGGCCCCTTCTTCCTCAAGATGTTGTTATATCTGGATGAAACACCTGGCATTAGCCATTTGCCACAAATCTGCTGATGAAGTCAACACGCAAACTGGGCAGAGAAAAGGAAACTATCGAGGCTGAGCTGGGCCCTGACATACCAGGAAAAGCCTCACCTACTATTTAAACACCTTTGATTTGGGGCTTTCTTGTATCTTGTAACTCAAAGGATCCTAATGAATAAAGAAGGCTTCTGTCTCCTCTGGGCTCTCCTAGGATTGAGGCACACTTAGACTCATCTCCAGCATCTTCCTTGTCCAGGAATTTTGCAAACTGGGTCTGAAATCTTTGTGGGTCTCAGAGTACCATTCATTTCCCCCTAGAACTTAATTTGCCTCCCACTACATTTTGCGAGTGAGGATGGGAGGAAGGTGAGTTGGAGAACTTTTCCTCCGAGATCCCCAAAGTTAAGAAGGAAATGGACATACTTACTTTTCCAAAAGTGCAGGCAGTACTGAGGTGACAGGTGGGTTGCCTTTCCCATTGGATGATTCTGACTAAATAGAAAACAGGAGATATTGAACTGGGATGAGCTAGGAAAGAAGAAGCCAGGGCTGACTGGTCTCTGAATCCTGGGGTAGGGCCTAGGCATTGAATGTTCTAGAAGTATCCTGTGTGATTTTAATGGACAGCCCTGATTGCCAATCCCTAGTCTAAAGGAATGTATATTTGGAAACCACATTGTACATTTAGTATAGTTTGGGAAATAGTCTCCATTAAAATATACTAACTAGTACTCTTGAAGCTCCTTTTCAAAAATTTTTTTTCAAATTGCTTTATTTTAGTGAGTGATTTGGGAGTTTGTATTGATTTCATGGATGATTGAAATGCTCAAGGTCAGAAGAAGTGAAAGAAGTTTTAGAGTTATCGCCACCTATTACTAGTACAGTAAAGCTCTTCCTTGCTTATACAGTCAGATTGGATCTTTGTAGAACAGTGCTGATCATGAGCAGGGCATACAGAAACAACTAGAGAAATAATTTAAAGAGTTTTAAATAGGATTAACCAGATTCACAAAGTTCTGGGACAGTTTATAGGAACTGTTTATAGAAACAGTCTTTGTTTAAAAAAAAGTTGAAATGCATTTTTTTCTAATTATAAGTAATACAGTTTTACTATAGAAATATAAAAAGGGATCAAAAAATTAAAATTGCCTGAGTTTTTACCACTGCCCAGAAATAGCTATTATTTGTAGTTCCATATATATTCTTTCAGAATATTCTATGACTACACATAGAAAAACACTTTTTCAAAACTACAAAACAGAGTTACACTGTAAAGACTGGAGCTTTGCTTTTTGTTTATAATAAATTATGGACTTTCTTCATGCCAATAAATAAAAATTTACATTTTAATCGTTATATTTAGCAACCACATAGAAACTCCTTATTGGGCTATTCATAATTTACTTACATAGATCTCTTATTAATGGAAATTCTGGTTATGTCCAATCTTTCAATGTTGTAAACAGTGCAGTAATGAATCAAGGCAGGGTAACACTGGGTTGAAGAACTCAGGCTCTGGAATCAGAGCACCTAGGGTTCAAAGCTCAGCACCACTTACTCCACAATGCAACTTTCAGCTGTTTAAACCCACTGTGGAATGGAGGGTTTTGGTTTAAGCATGAAGAGAGATATACTTTGCAAGGAACACTCTCTGAGTGGCCAGTACCTTGCTCAAGGATACTATGTCTTCTCTGGGCAGTGCAAGACATGGGGCCTGGTCTATGCTGAGGTTTCTCAGCCTATAGCCTATAGCACAGAATCTGTGCTGTGAATTTCCCCACTTCTTTGATGCTGCCCCATCCATGTCACCTCCACAGTTTTGAGCCTGAGAGGCAAGCATCATGATACTCACCAGGGCTGGTAAGGAGGGGATGGGGGATGAGCTGGGTGACTGGCCCGGCAGGTTCAGGATATTAAACTTGGGCACCACGGCAACGCTGACCCTCCGGCGGGGCATATTCTGTGGGAAGAGAATGGATCCACTGTCACAGAGGAAGCACCCAAAGTTCAGAAAGGCCTGGGAATGCCTACTAATTCCTAATGCTGTATTCATTGGATATTCTGGCTTTAGGGTAATGATGGTGGTGGAGGTTGGGGTGGAGAGAGTGGCCAAAATTAACAAATTTTTTTATTACTGAGGAGTGAGTTCTCAACATCTTCTGATTTTTTTAAAGATTTTTTAAATGTGTATCATTTCTAAAGTCTTCATTGAATTTGTTACAATATTGATTCAGTTTCATGATTTGGTTTTTTGGCCATGAGGCATGCAGGTTCTTGGCTCCCTGAGAAGTGAAAGGGAAAGTGGCTCAGTCATGTCCGACTCTTTGTGACCCCATGGACTATACAGTCCATGGAATTCTCCAGGCCAGAATACTGGAATGAGTAGCCTTTCCCTTCTCCAGGGGATCTTCCCAACCCAGGGATCGAACTCAGGTCTCCTGTATTGCAGGTGGATTCTTTACCAACTGAGCTATGAGGGAACCAGGGATCAAACCCACACCTTCTGCATTGGAAGGTGAAGTTTCCCAACCACTGGACTGCCAGGGAAGTCCCAATTCTGATTTTAATTAATCAGATCCTAAAGAAATGGAACAAAAATGACCCCTAGTCACTTGACAGTGTATGAAATCCTGACTAGCATAGGAAAACTATTATGACAATACTAAAGTGTGTGCATCATTTCATGTTCATTAAAGAAATGGTACAGCCTGGGAAGTCAAGAGCAAGGGAAGGTTGGAGGATGAGCAAGTGTGGGAAGCTGAATGAGAAACTCTGTCCAGAGGTTCTCTGGCACCTGTATATCCAAGAATGAATGATTTCCTGGTTGACTGTAGAAATTTCTTTCTCTCCCCAGTTTTCCTTGAATATGCATACCTTTCCCAGGGAGAGGGACATGGACCGCGCTGTGCGAGGGACTCCATCTTCTGCAGGAGGAGGAAACAGAGAAGAGAAGCCAGGTAAGTTTTCAGAGTAGGCTCCAGCAGGAAGCCGATCACAGAAACTGAGCCAAGGTCTCTATGGACCAGAACTGACCCTCAAGGGATGCCCCAAGGGCCTAGGTGCCGAGGTCACTGACTTTGACACTTGACCCTTTGAGACAGTCACCTGCAGAGTGGGGCTTCTAGGGGACAGGACCTTCAACGTAACTCCTCTGGACACTATGAGAAGTCTTGGTCTTGAACCTGACACCACTGCACCATCTCTGGATTATGCTCTGGTGAGTGTGTGAGGATTCCTCCTAGCAATACCAGGGTTTATTGGATCATCTTACTCATTCAAGGGGTGTACAGTCAAGGAAATTATGAGCAAGGAAGGTGTGGTGTCAATAAAAAATGGAAACTTAACAACAGTAATTTTAATATGTCATCTACAAAATAATTTTGAACAAAGGAAACCAGCATACTCAGATTTTCTTCTGCTTAGTACATATATTAAGTGATAAAATTTATGTTAAATATTTAGCACCACACATGGATAATACTGCCACTAGGAAACACAGATATGTGTAAAGAAAGGTTTTTGACAGCTCAATTCAGTTTGCTTCAGCTTGTATGGCTGTCTATTTCTCACATTCATGTATTTTAGGTGTCTCTCTTGAAAAGCACATAATTAAACACATCTTTCTTAATCTAATCTGAGGTTTTCTATTAACCAACAGTTCTAAGCTGTTTATATTTCTTGCAATTGATATATTTCTACCACCTTATTTTGTATTTTCTAATTACCTTGCTTCATAAATCAAATTTATTCTAACTACCCCTCCCTAAATTGATTTGGAATTTATATATTTTAGTTGTAATCTTTAGTGTGCCCCCTTAAATTTTTAACATGTTATTTGACTTTAGATTTAAATGAATTAAGATCTCTATTCTTCCTGAACCGTCCTTAAAACAATGATCATGCCTTCAAATCTTAAATTATATTGTTTTTCAATATTTTTATTTCACTTTGTTTTTGTAATCTCAAATTATTGTGACTGTTGGTTTACACAGTGGCTATTTGTTTAGATTTACTTACATGTTTACAAATGTCTTTGATTACCATCTCTTCTTGCATTCAACCTTCTTTCGATCTCAATTTTATTTTTCCTTAAGTGCATCCTTTAGTTGTTCTTTTGGTAAGGGGCTGTGAGAAGTCAAATTTCTCAGTTTTGTCATAAAATGTCTTTCCACAGCCCTTAAGCCTGCATGACAGTTTAGTTGGTAGTATTATCTCTGGGTTGACAGTTATTTTCTCTCAGCTCTTTCAACACTTTACTTCATTGTCTCCTGGTACTGGTCGGTATTGGTTGTGGGAATTGTCACTCCTCTGCAGATAATCTGTCCTCTCTCTCTGGTTACTTTTAAGATCTTCATTTTATCCTTGGGATTCTAAAGTTTATCTTTGATGTGTTTTTCTTTCGCTTGGGAGTCTCTGTACTTTCTAAATGCAATGATTCACGTCTTTCTTTAGTTCTGAAAAATTCTCAGTTCCTGGGAAATTCATTTGAATATTTTCTCTCCTGATGTATATCCTAATAAGTGTATTTCAAATCTTTTTTATTTTATATCCCATGTCATATATCTTATAACATTTCTTTCATATTTTAAATTAATTTATCTCTCTGAACCACGTTGTGGGTGACTTCCTCAAGTCTGTGTTCTGGCTAACAAATTTTTTCCTCAACTGTTTCTAATCTGATGTAAATGTTATACCAATCAGGATAAGTGAGGCTATGCTACAATAATAAAAGTAGGAAGTCAAGGAACACCTGGAGTAACAAGCAAATTTGGCCTTGGAGTACAGAATGAAGCAGGGCAAAGGCTAATAGAGTTTTGCCAAGAGAATGCACTGGTCATAGCAAACACCCTCTTCCAACAATACAAGAGAACACTCTACACATGGACATCACCAGACGGCCAATACTGAAGTCAGATTGATTATATTCTTTGAGGCCAAATATGGAGAAGCTCTATGCAATCAGCAAAAACAAGACCAGGAGCTGACTGTGGCTCAGATCATGAACTCCTTATTGCCAAATTCAGACTTAAATTGAAGAAAGTAGGGAAAACCACTAGACCATTCAGGTATGATCTAAATCAAATCCCTTATGATTATACAGTGGAAGTGAGAAATAGATTTAAGGGACTAGATCTGATAGACAGAGTGCCTGATGAACTATGGACGGAGGTTCGTGACATTGTACAGGAGACAGAGAGCAAGACCATCCCCAAGAAAAAGAAACGCAAAAAAAAAGCAAAATGGTTGTCTGAGGAGGCCTTACAAATAGCTGTGAAAAGAAGAGAAGTGAAAAGCAAAGGAAAAAAGGAAAGATACACCCCTTTGTATGCAGAGTTCCAAACAATAGCAAGGAGAGATAAGAAAGCCTTCCTCAGTGATCAATGCAAAGAAATAGAGGAAAACAATAGAATGGGAAAGACTAGAGATCTCTTCAAGAAAATTAGATATACCAAGGGAACATTTCATGCAAAATGGGCTCAATAAAGGACAGAAATGGTATGGACTTAACAGAAGCAGAAGATATTAAGAAGAGGTGGCAAGAATACACAGAAGAACTATACAAAAATGATTGTCATGACCCAGATAATCACGATGGTCTGATCACTCACCTAGAGCCAGATATTCTGGAATGTGAAGTCAAGTGGGCCTTAGGAAGCATCACTATGAACAAAGCTAGTGGAGGTGATGGAATCCCAGTTGAGCTATTCAAATCCAAAAAGATGATGCTGTGAAAGTGCTGTACTCAGTATGCAAGCAAATTTGAAAAACTCAGCAGTGGCCACAGGACTGAAAAAGGTCAGTTTTCATTCCAATCTCAAAGAAAGGCAATGCCAAAGAATGCTCAAACTACCACACAATTGCACTCATCTCACATGCTAGCAAAGTAATGCTCAAAATTCTCCAAGTCAGGTTTCAGCAATATGTGAACCATGAACTTCCAGATGTTCAAGCTGGATTTAGTAAAGGCAGAGGAACCAGAGATCAAATTGCCAACATCTGCTGGATCATCGAAAAAGCAAGAGAGTTCCAGAAAAACATCTATTTCTGCTTTATTGACTATGCCAAAGCCTTCGACTGTGTGGATCACAATAAACTGTGGAAAATTCTGAAAGAGATGGAAATACCAGACCACCTGACCTGCCTCTTGAGAAATCTGTATGCAGGTCAGGAAGCAACAGTTAGAACTGGACATGGAACAACAGACTGGTTCCAAATCAGGAAAGGAGTACATTAAGGCTGTATATTGTCAGCCTGCTTATTTAACTTCTATGCAGAGTACATCATGAGAAACGCTGGGCTGGATGAAGCACAAGCTGGAATCAAGATTGCTGGGAGAAATATCAATAACCTCAGATATGCAAATGACACCATGCTTATGGCAGAAAGTGAAGAAGAGCTAAAGAGTCTCTTGATGAAAGTGAAAGAGGAGAGTGAACAAGTTGGCTTAAAGCTCAACATTCAGAAAGCTAAGATCATGGCATCTGGTCCCATCAATTCATGGCAAATAGATGGGGAAACAGTGGAAACAGTGGCAGACTTTATTTTTCTGGGCTCTAAAATCACTGCAGATGGTGATTACAGCCATGAAATTAAAAGATGCTTACTCCTTGGAAGGAAAGTTATGACCAACCTAGACAGCATATTAAAAAGCAGAGACATTACTTTGTCAACAAAGGTCTGTCTAGTCAAGGCTATGGTTTTTCCAGTAATCATGTATGGATGTGAGAGTTGGACTGTAAAGAAGGCTGAGTGCCAAAGAATTGATGCTTTTGAACCGTGGTATTGGAGAAGACTCTTGAGAGTCCCTTGTACAGCAAGGAGATCCAACCAGTCCATCCTAAAGGAAATCAGTCCTGAACATTCATTGGAAGGACTGATGTTGAAGCTGAAACTCCAATACTTTGGCCACCTGATGCGATGAGCTGACTCATTGGAAAAGACCCTGAGGCTAGGAAAGATTGAGGGCAGGAGGAGAAGGGGACAACAGAGGATGAGATGGTTGGATGGCATCACCGACTCGATGGACATGAGTTTGAGTAAACTCCGGGAGTTGGTGATGGACAGGGAGGCCTGGTGTGCTGCAGTCAAAGGGGTTGCAAAGAGTCGGACACAACTGGGTGACTGAACTGAACAACCACGAAGTCTCTGTGGCTTGTAACAACTAAGATTTATTTCTTGCTTTTGCTACATTGCTTATGAGTCAGCAACAGGCTCTGCTCTGCATTTCCTCACTCAGGACACAGGCTGATGGAGCTTCTACTATTCTGGAGCAGGGATGATTATCATGTCTGGTGGAAGGAAACACAGGGCAAATTGCATACTAGTTCTTAAGGATCTCAGCTCAAATGTGATACATGTCCTTCCACTGACATTTAATGCCAAATCACATTGCCTCACCTAACTTCAAGGGGATGGAGAAGTGTGCCCAGGAGGAGATGTGAATACTGAGAAACAGCTTCGACTATAGGAACTACCAAAGGGTCCGACTACCAAAAAGAGTCGTATATAACTGAGGGACTGAATAGCTGAACTAAAAGTAACTACCACACCTCAACAACTGAGTTTTTAATTTTCATGCCTCTATTCCTCATATCAAGGATATTTTTTATAATTATATCCTTTTATTCTCATATTTTTGATTTGTTCTTTTTTGCCTCTAATTTTACACACAACTTTAAAAACTTTTTAAGATTGCTTTATTATCTGCTGTGTTCAGGATACAGTCCTATTGTTTGGGTGTCTGATGATTCTCACTGATGGTAGATTGTTTTATTTTATAATTCAATATGGTCAACTCATCTCCTGTGAAGTTTTACTTAGAGGATTCTGTGTTTCCTGGGCACAGGGTGTGTCTCTCCATAGTGGTTTGTATTTATCTCCAACAGTGTTCCTAGCAGCACCATTGTGATGTTCTTTTCAGAATCTCTGCATATTGCATCATCTCTTCTGTTATGGCATGTACTTTGTGGGTTTGCAGTTTTCCTGTGAGGAAGGAGAAAGTTTTTTTTCCTATCAGAGTCCTGGGCGAAGCAGATAAACTTCCTTGATTTGTTCCATTGTGACTGTTCCAAAGATGCAGTCCTTGGAAAGTCTTCACTTTCTATAGGAGGCTCAGAGTCAGCTCCCTGCTGTGGGGTCTCTGAGGCCTCATCTCAGATTGCATGTGAGTGCAAAAGCCCAGAGTCCAGATAGCTGAGGCTGACTCTTATCCCCAAGGAAGCTGCAGGGTCAGCTTGGTTTCAGTTCTCTTTTCTTTTCTTGTATCTGAGTATTTCCATTTCTTTTCTTGTGGATTCAGCTATTCCTTTAGGCTAATGTTTGATTCACTTTATCCAGCAGAAATTTCTAAGTATTTGTAGTCAAAGGATTTTCAAGTTTTCCAGTCAGCCAAAATAGCAGTACCAGAAAACATTCTTTGTATTTGAAGAGTTCATACAATTAATAAAAAATCAATCTCACAAGAGGGACAAAGAATTAAAGAATTTACACAAGTAGAAATACAAAGGCCCAACAAACATTTGAAAATGAATGTCAAAAAATACAAATTAAAACTATGAGAAGAGGTACAATATTGGTTCAAAGTAAAAAATATTTTTAAAAAGAAAAGAAAAAAAGACAGGGCTGTCCATGGTATGATAAACTGAGCATTACTGTTACCCATTAAATGGAAATATCAATGGGTTATTTGGAAATAATTTAAGAACCTTATAAATATTCCTTTCCCTGAGCCAGTATTTACACCTCTGGAATCTACCTTAATCCAAAATGCAGACAACTGGCAAGTTTCACATTCAGAAAAAAAATAGATGTTATTTTTTTTCTTTTGAATGTGTATCACCTTTCTTGAAATCAGAGATATTTTTCTTGCCCTGTAGTCTTCAGAGTCTCAGGCATAAAGAAAGATTACATATGTAACAAAGAAGTCATATAAAATCTTAAGGAATAAGCACCATCAGGGAATGGTCACAGGGTAGCTGATGGGCATGTCTGGCCCCTCTGTACCAACCCAAACTGAAGTGTAGCTTGGAAAAACAATGGAGTGGAACCAGATTGTGAAAACCACACATTCACCATTCAACACTCAGCTACCGGCTCCCGTCTTAACGTAAGCACTTTCTTGTGCCCCCAGACTGAACGTGGTTCTCTGCCATGTGCTCCCCATAAAGTCTGCTTTCTTCTGTCATGGCACCACTTACCCTGCCCTGCCCTCACCACAGGCTGGGAGCTCCCTTGGGTCAGGCGCAGGCTACCCTTCACCTCTCTAGTCCAGTATCACATGGCACACATCTGAGGTGCTCAATAAGTGTCTATAGAACTGATGGATGAGACTCATGGGCGACTGTGCTCATTCCACCAACTGTGGGTAAGGTGGTTTGCATGAGACCTTGCACCTTGCAGGACAATAATGCAAGCGCCTGCGTGTTAGGATTTCTTTCGTGGCAGCTTCTCCAACTTCCAATACTGACAGAGAGAGGTTTGTTAGAGGCCCAGATGCATGTGGGTCAGGAGTCTTGCTGCCAAGATCCAAAACAGACGGTCTGGAGCGAGTGTGTGCTGCCTTCGGACTCTGGGAAGTATCACTGATATTCCCCAGGAAACTTATGAAACCTCCTGTTTATAAAGGTTTCTCCATCTGTTATACTTTCCCTCCTCCTGCTCTTGGTAACACGGATGTTTGCATTCCATAGGGATTCCTGTCACTAAAAGGTCTGTTTTCTCCTGCGAACACCACCCTCATCAGCCAGAGCTCAAACCCTGGCAGCTCCCAAGGACAGATCCTGGCCCAAAGCACCATCCTCCTCCCCTTGGACTGCAGCAAAGCCTCCAAGCTCATCTCTCCACTCCAACATCCACTCCTAATACATCATCCACTCTGAAGTCAGAGCAATGTTCTAAAAATAAGATCTGACTATGGCAGCTGGAGTAAACTCACGGGTGTCTCCTCATTGCCTGCGGGGCAAACACCCAGATTGTTCTCAGGACCTGGCATGTGGCCCAGGTCTAACAAGTCTTACCTTCAGCCTGTCACTGACACACTCCAACACCACAACCAAACATAAGACGGTTTGTTTCAGAGTCTTCTCACCCCAACCCCCACATCTTTGCACATGCTGTTTCCTCCACCTGGGGTGTATTTCCCCCTCTAGTCTGGATAACTCCTATTTTTACTTTAAAACATAGCAACTCTTTTACTGCATAGCACAGGGAACTACATTTGAAATCCTGTGATAAACCATAGTGGAAAAGAAAATAAAAAGAAATGTATATACATATGTGTGTAAACTGAGTCACTTTGTTGTATAGCAGTAATGAACACAACATTGTATATTAACTATACTTCAATAAAAGATTAAAAAAACACTGCAATTCAATATCAAGTGAAATCAGGTGGCCCTCTGTGGTTCTATAGCAATCTGTCTAGAACTAAAAAAAAAAAAGTCTTTCTTTAAAGCACTTGTCTTGCCCACAGTTCTGCTAGTTATCTTAGCAGTAACTCCTTTAGCCAGGCTCTCACTCCACCCCCACTGCCCAGACTCCACCTCTCATCTCGACTCCTGTAATAGCTGGCTCCTGGGTTTCCCTGTCTCTGTCTTTACCCCAGTGATGTAACTGTCACACTATTGCCAGAGGGAATCTTCTAAACTATATATGATGATGGCAACTCCCTGATTAAAATCTTTGGTTGGATCCCTAATGCTTTCCAGAATAAAAATGCAAATTCCTTATCATGTGCTGCCCAAAGTAGGGACCCCAAAGCAAAAGACTGTGAGGTCTGGGGTCTGTCAGTCTCACGTGAAGTGAAAGTTGCTCAGTCATGTCTGACTCTTTGTGACCCCGTGGACTAAACAGTCCATGGAATTCTCCAGGCCAGAATATTGGAGTGGGTAGCCTTTCCCTTCTCCAGGGGATCTTCCCAACCCAGGGATCAAACCCAGGTCTCCAGTATTGCAGCCAGGATTCTTTACCAGCTGAGCCACCAGTCAGTCTCATAAAGGAGGTTAAATTCTTGCAGCCTATGGGCTCTGCATTACTAGTCAGCTTCTCTGGTTATTTTTATCAGGAGTTGCTTGGAGGCCATTCATGCTTTCTGGTTCCAGGCCCCCAGGGCTCACTGGAGCAGTGGCTGCAAGGCCCTTGTGGGCAGCTTTGGGTGGGGCAGCAAGCCTCGCTCACCCTGACATAGGCCCTGGGACTGCCCCATAGGTGTGATCCTAGTCTGGATCCATCAGGGCCAAGGTAGGGCAGTGGGCAGGAGTCTAGTTCCTTACCAGAGGGGCCACAGCTACGGCTCGAATTCTGATTTGCAAGTTTTTTAAACTCCATGAGCTCTGCATGGTCCTTCTCATACGTCCTCTTTAGGTTCTCCACATACTGCATCATCACTTCTGTTGCTTTTGACATGCGTTTTTCCTGCAGGGATGGAGAGGAAAAGCTCATCAGCCCAGCTTGCTCTGAGCCAGGCTCTGGGCTGCAGGATTTGAAAGGTTACAGGGCTATGACTCTACTCTTTAAGAGTTTGCTGTCTGGGGTGTGAGCTGAAACCGGCTCAGGCACCTGCCCTCAAGGAGAACAAGAACAAGCCTAGCCATAAAGCCTCAGGAGAGGAGAAGGAACAGAATCCTCTCTGCAGAGAATGGGTCAGGGGAGGCTTCACGAAACAGGGTGAAGTGCTGTAGGGCGTGGGCGGCATCTGGGCACGTAGCTATGAGCAAGAGAGACAGAGAGCATTCAGCCAGGGAACTCCAAGAGCCAAGGTCTAGAGGCAGGACATTACCAGGCTTGTATCAAGGTGAGGATTCCCCCTCCAGACAGAATCCTCTGGAGAGTAAAGGAGATGCTTTCAGGAATCATGGGCTTCCCTGGTGGCTCAGAGAGTAAAGAATCTGCCTTTAATGTGGGAGACCCAGGTTTGATCCCTGGGTTGGGAAGATCCCCTGGAGAAGGAAACAGCAATCCACTCCAGTATTCTCGCCGGGAGAATTCCATGGACAGAGGAACCTGGCGGGCTACAGTCCATGGGGTCGCAAAGAGTCAGACACAAATGAGTGACTTTCACTTACTTATCAGGAATTGTGCTGGGGCAATAGGCATATACCAGAACTGTCTGGAAAGCCAGGAAAGCACAGGTCATCCTGCTTATGTAGGAATCAGCAAATGGTTGGGTTTGTTCACAAGGCGAAAAGGTGAGTTAGCGCTGAATTGAGTGCTAGAATAAGGAGTTTGGACTCATTCTGAAGGAAGAGGGGAGCCATTGAATGTCTTAAAGGAGTATCATAATCAGTTCACCCGTGGAGAGTGGTCTGAAGGAAACAAGATGGGTGGCAGCTAAAGCAACAAGGAAAATGAGGATGAGTGCCTGAACCAGTCCAGTGGAACCAGAGAGGACTCTGAGGACTGAGACTCAGAAGCCACTTGGAGAAGGGTGCAGTCTGGTGAGCAGCTCGTGCACGGAGCAGCACGTTCGCAAAGACTGTGCAAAGTGAAGAGTCTTCTCTGCCGACACCTCTCAAAGCACTCAGAGAGCCCATGACCTGCCTGTCTGCAGAAGGGCATGCTCAGTGACCAAACCCTGGACAAAGTCCCCGTAGCCCTGAGCTGAGACCAGCCACTTCCCTAAAGCTCTCACTTCGTGCTGCTCCCAGCTGGAATAGCTTCCTGGGTGCTGCTTCCCAGGAACGTTGGGTGACTTTTCCCTAAAAGAACACAGGTGGGACAGCCCTGTGGCTTGTTCTTTCATTCTATGAGAACCGCCCACGGCCGGGCCTCAGGAACACCCCTGCCATGCAATCCACATAGCAGGACACATGGTACACAGGTCCATGGTAACAGCAACAGCGACAACAACATCCCGGAGCTTTACCGGTGTCACAGCAGCCTTGTATGGCAGACACTGCATTCTACAGTTGGAGCAGCTGGCGCACAGAGAGCTCGTTAACTGACCCAAGGCCACACAGTGAACCCTGGTAGAATCAGAATGAAAACTCAGGCCATCTGGCCCCACAACACCATGATGGGTGGGGGCAATACCTTGTGTGCCTCAAGACTTCAAAGTGGCTGCAAGGGAGCCACACTTGGGCTTACATCCCAGGTTTGCCCATCACTAGTGCTATTACCTTTCTTAGATATCACATCTTTATTGAGGAATATCTTTCCAAGGTTACTGGGGACGATTAATGAAACAAAGCAGGTTTTCCTAAAGCATGTCTTTCCATGGGAGTTGAGTAGGTATTTTATAGGGAGAAAAAAAAAAAGAAGGAAGGGGTGGTTCTTTATTCAAATACATTTGAGAACTACACAGGTAACATTAAACAGGATTTTTCATTACAGGACTTCTCAAAGCCTTGCTTATGCCAACATGCATTAGAAATCTCCAAGGAAGGTAGCATGCAGCAGTCTAAATTGCTTTAGTTGTGTCTGACTTTTTGTGACCCCACAGACTGTAGCCTCCCAGGCTCCTCTGTCCTTAGGATTCTCCAGGCAAGAATACTGGAGTGGGTTGCCATGCCCTCCTTCAGGAGATCTTCGCAACCCAGGGATTGAACCACCATCTCTCACATCTCCTGTACTGGCAGGAGGGTTCTTAATCACTGACATAAAAGTTTTTTCTGGGGGAGCACCTTAAGAGTTGAGTGGTCTGCCAAAAATACTCTGAAACAATTGCAATTGCGGACATAGGATGTCTGGCCCAGAGGAAGACATCAGTCAGTGGGGTCTGCAGTTGTCAGTGCTTACACTGCAGCCCCAGTTACAAGAGGCAGAGCAGAGCTCACCTGGCGGACGGCCCCCACCATCTCGGCACGGCTGGAGAGGCGGGCAGCCAGGCGGTGCAGGACAGCAATGTCCTCCAGCAGCTTCTGGTAGGTCTCCCGGTGCTCACAGTGGTGCCAGAGGGAAGCTGAGGACTGGGCGGGGAGAAGGAACATCACCGGGGGTCCTCACAGACCAAGACTTGACTTGCACTGTCCTGACCAAGAGGAGGGGGCCTCTGTAGGCCACCAGCTGCAGCTGTTTCTGGGGTTGGAGAAGCCCAATGTGGACACTATATACCTGGCCAGCCCGGAGGAAGGGAATCACATCCAGATCTCTGGTGCCCAAGGTGCTCCCTCTGTCATCCCAGGTCACCCAGCCCCCTTTCTGAAAAGCTGCTGAGGGCTCAAAGCCCTTACACACAGCCCTGAGGTAACCAGGTCTTCAGGATCTCAGTCTCAGCTCCTCTCAGCTCTCTGAGGAAGATTCTGCCTGGCTCAGGGCCTCAACCCCATTTCTCATTTCATGAGACTCTTCTTGGTGACTAAGAAAAGCGGGACACCTGGCCCAGTCCCTGGGGACAGTCCCTCCTGCAAAGGTTCTCCAATCAGGCTTTGCAATTACCGTAATGGAAGCTTTGAAGTTTTCCAGTTCCTTCTCCGTGTTTTCCTCTGTCAGGTTGCGTTCCCTTTCCGCCTGGTTAATTCTAGATTCCAGGGTGTAGCTGTCATTTCTAAAGGCCAAGGACAGTTGTACAAACACGTTCTGTTGGGAACAAGAGTGTGGGAGAAGCGCTAGGAGGAGGTACTGAAGGGACCAAGGCTGCCGGTGAGTTTTTTGCATGAGCATTTACATCACCTCATGGAACCAGCCCCCCCAAGCAGCCGAGTACAAGTGAAACTCTCCCTTCATGGAGCAAACTGCACAAAAGATGGTGAAACAGCAACTTGAGGTCCGTGCTAGGTCCTTCCCAGGACCAGAAGACCAAATGTGTTTTACTGATAAACAATAAGACAGTAACACTTGGCTTTTTCCTAAATGTCAAGAAACTAACATCCTGTATTTGGGTTTAGATAAACTCAAGCCAACAGAGCTGACTGTGTAAGCAATTTGGATTCATGCTAGGATTTATGGCACGTGAGTTTTGGAGGTTTCGCATGAAACTACCATATTTAAAGAAACCCCACTTGAGATGTTAGCCTGCTGATCCAAAGCACATTTCAATCGGCATCTTACCTGAATATTCCAAATCCTACATTGAAAGCAGCTTTTAGAAGTTGCCAGGAGATTAAATAAAACCAGGTATGATTCTGTTAGGAGAAGTTTTCTGGAAAGAGTATTCCATGCCAAAAATGCAGCCTGCATGAATGAACTTTGAAAGTTGGGGTTCATCACACATGGAATTCCTGGGCTAGTAGGAAACTGCTGGAGAGGAGAGACAGACAGATGGACTCTATACACAGGAAGGAAACAATGGCCTTCATCTGCCTTGCCTGCATCAAGTGGTAGCAGATTTCCACCCTTCGGGTGAGCAGATTCTGCCTGAACATCTGAGGTTCATGTAACAGGGTCCACGGTGCGTAGACATCTCCAGATGGAGAACCAAAAACTGAGCTACTCAATGAGATGATGAGAGCAACACCGAAATTGTCTCTGTATCAAATGTCTTCTCTGCGCCAGCACTTTCATGCACCTTAGCTCATTTCATCCCTCAACCACATTCTGCATCAGGAACTGCTGTGTCCACTTTATGGGTAAAGAGATGGAGACCAAGAGAGGTCATTAACTGGCTCAAGGGGCCACAAAGGAGTAGCAGAGACAGGATTCGGCCTCAGACTGATTGCAAAGCCTGTGCTCCTTTGACTGTGCTGACCACGGATTGTGTCCGTACACATTGAGGACAGGAGCGCACTGTTAACCAAACCACCCACGGCCCTCTCCACCAATGTCAGCAGGTGGGGTTTTTCTGTCCTGCCCAAACCTCAGTCAGGTTTACCAGTAATGGTCAAAGTTTTGTCCCCTGTACCTGGGTTATCCCCTTTAAAAGCAGTGCAATATAAAGTGCCCTAAATTCAGTCCGAAGACGAGGATCCAAATGTTGGTTCTGCTAAGCACTGGGTATGGGATCTCAGATGAGTCATTTAGTCCCTTAGTTTCCTCCTTTGTTCTGCTTCCTCCTCTACCTGTTTCTCAGAGCTGATGAGAGGGTCAGATGAAAGGACGGACATGTGTGTGTCACGGGCTGTAAGTGCCATGTCTGTGTGCCAGGCAATTGTTACTATCTGTGCCAGTATTTCACATTGTCGATCTCTCTTTGCTCAAGTGGTCCACTGCGTCTCAGAAAGGGTATGTTCGCTTTCTTGTTATCAGGGTAAACCATGCTATAAGACTGGAAAACCTTCCATCCTCCTAACCTGGAGTGAAAAAGATTCTGGAATCATCTATGTTCTTGCTCTCTTCCTTCTATCACACCAACATAATTGCCATGGAAACGAACTACTGCTGTTGTCGGAGGTCCTCACTGTCTTACCTCCAATGCATTCTCTCTGTGCATCTACCCCTTCACCAGAATGAAATGCCTCCCAGCTCTCTCACCACCCCCACTGGGACAGCATCTCTGCAGAGACAAGGAGGCCCTGCGGGGAATCAGTCGAGGGGAGAGAGCTGCCCTCACAGTCTCGCACCATGGCTGAACTGGCTTATGTCTGAAACACTCAGAAGGAAAGCACCCTCTTCTTCCAAAGTTTGAAGCATGAAATCTGACCCTATTTTAATAATTTTAAAATAAATTTGATGTCACTCTGCAGCCTCCCAGCAGCTGACTTTGTGTACCTAAGTAATGTTTTAAAGAAAACAATCTTTGAAGAAATATGGGACTTCCAATTACCTTCTTATCCCTGACCAAAGTTGTTAAAATCTTCCATTAACTGGGGTGGGGTGGGGTGGGGGAATGGCTGGTTCAATTGGTCTGATCACAGTGCCCATATTTCCTCCATGGTCACTCGTTCTCATGTTTGTGTACAAACATCAGGAGCAGAGGCTGGAGAAGGGAATGTTTTGAATAAATCCAGTCATGCCCAAGTACTCAATTTCATAAAGCACTGGAATTACTTACCTCGACTTCCTTTTCAGTGAGTGGAGGGGCACTGTGAAAAGAAAAAAACACAGAAATGAACTTTATCCAACCCATGAAATAAACCCAAAGGTGCCTTTGAACAACCAGCAGACCAGGTGTTTCCAGGAATTGGAGTAAGCCGGGCTGCCGAGATGGAAAAGATGCAGGGTACAGTTTGCGTGAGTTCTATAACCAATGAGATACCGCCCAGACACTGACTCCTACAGAGGAAGAGTGTTGGAAAATACTAGATTCTGGGGTCAGTGGTCTCCAAGTGCCTCTACTAACTGTGACTTTGGATGAGCTATTTAAGTTTGCTCATCTGTAAAATGGGAATAGTATCTATCTTGCAGGAGTCTTATAAACAATACGTGTATGTGTGTAAAAATATGTACACAATACATGTATATATGGGTTTATTTTCACACATATATGACATCTACACAATTGTTTATGTGTATATACATATACAAGCATATATACGTATGTATATATGTGTATGTGTACATCTGTGTATATACATGTGATGTCTACACTTGGTGGGCACTCAGGAGATGTTGACTATTACTATGACTAACAGGAGCGTTGTGAAGTCTTAATGAGAGAATACACAAGCTATATACTTCATGAGTTGTATACATCTGAACAGCCATTATCATTTTTCCGGGGCTGCTCAGGTCTGCAAAGCCTGACGCTTCTCTTGCCCCTGAGGACTGTGACAAGGGTGCATGTGAGCCAGAGAATAAATGGTAGGAAAGAGTGGCCAGAGCTCTTCTCCCTACAAAGACCTCCTCTGATGGCTGGAATCAGATCGGGTGAGAAAGTCCCAGCTGGTGCAGAGGGCGTGGTTCCCCCAGCAAGCATCCTCCACTCTGCACGCTCGCTCTGCCACCACTCTGGCAGGTGACTAAAGCTAGCCCAGCTCAGAAACCTGGACAACGTAAATAACACACGGGCCCTTTCCTGTGCTGGGGAGGGAGGACGAGGAGGAGCCCCACCGGCATCATAGGACTTGGCAACACAGCGTGCCATCGATAAGGCTCTCAGGAAACACAGCTTCCTCCCTTTGACGGGTGTGGAGGGACCCTGGGAGCAAAGGTAGGGGTCAGCAGTCTCTGCAAGGGGCTGGTTCTCACCCGGGACAAGGGACTATGAGAACCTTCCTGTCAGGATGAGACAACAGGACCCCACGGCCATCCAGTCAGCAGAGTACAGAGCACGAGATAAACAAGTGCAAAGATGTTGGATGCTTGCAATTCTTGCCACGACCCCATCCATCAGGCCCTTTCCTCTGGGGACCAGCCAACAATCTCAATTCTCCTATAGAGCATGCACACCTTGCCTAAATGGCGTATCAGAACTTCCTGAGCTTACCTTTGACTCTTGACTTTGTTTGGACATTACGTGAAAATTACATATTTTCATCAATTATTAACCAAACTTATTTTTCATCCTTGATTACTCACTGGCTACTTTTCTTTTTGCTATAGAACACTTTTTTTTTTTTTTAATATACAAGGCCTTGAGGGCCCAGGGAAGTGTGGTTTAGGTAAAGAACTGCATGACAAGGCCAGCTCCCAGAGCAGAGAGCTCTGCGTCATGAACTGTCACTGGCAGGCAAGGGGGCAAAGCCATTACCCTCCAGAAAGGTGGTGACATTTGAGGAGACTAGTTTGGATGTCACTGTGTGCCTCAGAATTCAAACTGCCTTAAGAGGCCTTAGAATAAAATCAAGGGCCTCTGTGAACTGTCCCCCACTAGACTCTTTTTCTCACTCTTCAGCCATGTTGGCTGTTTCCTCTTCAAACACACTTACCTCATGTGGCCCCAGGGCCTTTGCATTTACTGTTCTTCCCTTTTTTTTCATTCTCTTACATTTGTAATTCAGTAGTTTTTAGTATATTCATAGAAGTGTACAAACATTATTACAGTCAACCTTAGAACTTTTTAATCATCCCAAAAGGAACTCTGAGCCAATTAGCAGTCACTCTCCCAACCCCCATCCTGAGCCCTAGACAATCACTAATCTACTTTGTCTCTGTGGATGTCCCTATCCTGGATATCTCATATAAGCGGAGCCATACAACACGTGACTGACTTCTTTCACTTACCATAATGTTTTCAAGGTTCATCCACCTGGTAGCATATACAAATACTTCATTTTTATGGCTGAATAGTATTCTATTCTACAGATATATCATTTCACTTATCTGTTTATCAGTTGATAGGCATTTGGTTTGTTTCCATTTTTAGCTATTATGAAAAATGCTTGTGACTGAACATTAACATTCCAGTTTTTATGTGGGCACATATTTTCATCTCTGCTATATATGTAGGAGTGAAATTGCTGGGCCATACAATAACTGTATGTTTAACTTTTTGATGAATTGTTATTCAAAGTGGCTGTACCATTTTACTGAGAATTTCAATTCCTACACATCCTCACCAACATTTGCTACTGCCCATGTTTTTTATTGTGCTTCCGCGGTGGCAGTCAGTAAAGCATTGGTCTGCGATGTGGAAGACCTGGGTTCGATTCCTGGGTTAGAAAAATCCCCTGGAGGAGGGCATGGCAACCCTCTCCAGTATTCTTTCCTGGAAAATCTCCATGGACAGAGGAACCTGGAGGTCTGCAGTCCATGGGGTCACAAAGAGTTGGATATGACTGAGCGACTAAACATAGCACAGCACATGTTTTCTATTATAACTATTCTAGAGACTTAAAATTATATCTCATTTTAGCCATTTATGATAAATGATAAATCACTGATTTAATGACATTATTATTCATGATAAACCATTTGAATTTGCATTTCCCTAATGACTAAAAAGTGAGGAAAGGAAGGCACCTAAGCGATGGCAGAGTAGAAGGATATGCGCTCATCTTCTCCTCTGAGAACTCCAAAACTGCAGCTAACTGCTGAACAATCATTGACAGGAGAATGTTGGATCCTACCCAAAAAAGACTCCACATCCAAGGGCAAAGGAGAAGCCTCAACAAGGGTAGGAGGGGAAAAATCACATTTAGAATCAAACCCCATAACTTCCAGAGATGCTCAGAGGGCTCAAACAAAACCTTGTGCATGCCAGGACCCAGGGACCCCACAAGAGACTGAGCCAGACCTGCCTTTGAGTGTTTGAATGTCTCCTGTGGAGGTATGGGTCAGCAGTGGCCTGCCGCGGGGACAGGGACTCTGGCAGCAGCAGACCTGGGAAGCAAGGCATGTGAGCCCCACCATAGAGCCATCAAGCAGACAAACCCACAAACTGGAGCAATAACCCCACAAGAGACTGAGCCAGACTTGCCTATGAGTGTCCAGGAGTTTCCAGTGGAGGCATGAGTGGACAGTGGCCTTCCATGGGGTCAGGGGCACTGAATACAACAGTCCTGGCATAAGTCCGTTTGAAGGAGGACCCCCTACCATGGTTTGGCCTCAGGCCAAACTACAGGGAGAGAACACAGCCCCACCCATCAACAGAAAATTGGGTTAAATATTTACTTAGCATGGCCCTACCCATCAGAGCAAGACCAGGATCCCCCACAGCCAGTCCCTACCATCAGGAAGTTTCCACAAACCTCTTATCCTTATCCATCAGAGGGCAGACAGAATGGAAACTACAGTTACAGAGAACTAACCAAACTGATCACTTGGATCACAGCCTTGTCTAACTCAATGAAACTATGAGCCATGAAACTATGTAGGGCCACCCAGGACGGACGGGTCATGGTGGAGAGTTCTGACAAGATGTGGTCCACTAGAGAAGGGAATGGCAAGTCACTTCAGTATTCTTACCTTGAGAACCCCATGAACATTTTGAAACGTCAGAAAGTTATGACACTGAGAGATGTGGGTGGCCCAATATGTTACTAGATAAGAGTGGAGAAATAACTCCAGAAAGAATGAAGAAGCTGAGCCAAAGCAAAAACAACACCCAGTTGTGGTTGTGACTGGTGATGGAAGTCAAGTCAGATGCTGTAAGGAACAATATTGCATAGGAACATGGAATGTTAGGTCCATGAATCAAGGTAAATAATTGGAAGTGGTCAAACAGAAGTGAGGCAAGAGTAAGCATCAATATTTTAGGAATCAGTGAACTAAAATGGACCGAAATGAGTGAATTTAATTTGGAAGATCATTATATCTACTACCGTGGGCAAGAATCCCTTGGAAGAAATGGAGTAGCCCTCATAGTCAACAAAAGAGTCCAAAATGCAGTACTTGGGTACAATCTCAAAAATGACAAAATGATTACTTTCGTTTCCACGGCAAACCTTTCAATATCACAGTGATCCATGTCTATGCCTCAACCACTAATGCTGAAGAAACTGAAGTTGAAAGGTTCTATGAAGACCTATGAGACCTTTTAGAACTAACACCAGAAAAAGATATCCTTTTTATCATAGGGGATTGGAATGCAAAACTAGGAAGTCAAGAGGTACCTGGAATGACAGGAAGGTTTGGCCTTGGAGTAAAAATGAAGCAAGCCAAAGGTTGACAGAATTTTGCCTGATCATAGCAAACACTGTCTTCCAACAACACAAGAGACGACTCTACACACGGACATCACCAGATGGTCAATACCGAAATCAGATTGATTATATTCTTTGCAGCCAAAGATGGAGAAGCTCTCCAGAGTCAGCAAAAACAAGACCAGGAGCTGACTGTGGCTCAGATCATGAACTTATTGCAAAATTCAGACTTAAACTGAAGAAAATAGGAAAAACCAGTAGACCATTAAGATATGACCTAAATCAAATCCCTTACAATACGGTGGAAGTGACAAATAGATTCAAGGGATTAGATCTGATACAGAGTGCTTGAAGAACTATGGACAGAGGTTCAGAACACTGTACAGGAGGTGGTGATCAAAACCATCACCAAGAAGAAGAAATACAAAAAGGCAAAATCATTGTGTGAGGAGGCCTTACAAATAGCTGAGAAAAGAAGAGAAGCAAAAGGCAAAGGAGAAAAGGAAAGATATACCCATCTGAATGCAGAGTTCCAAAGAACAGCAAGGAGAGATAAGAAAGCCTTCCCAAGTGATCAATGCAAAGAAATAGAGGAAAACAACCGAATGGAAAAGACTAGAGATCTCTTCAAGAAAGTTAGAGATACCAAGGGAATATTTCATTCAAAGATGGGATCAATAAAGGACAGAAACAGTATGGGCCTAACAAAAGCAGAAGATATTAAGAACAGGTGGCAAGAATACACAGAAGACCTATACAAAAGAATCTTAATGGCCCAGATGACCATGATGGTGTGATTACCCACCTAGAGCCAGACATCCTGGAGTGTGAAGTCAAGCGGGCCTTAGGGATCATCACTACAAAGAAAGCTAGTCGAGATGATGGGATTCCAGCTGAGCTATTTCAGATCCTCAGAGATGATGCTGTGAAAGTGCTGCACTCAATATGCCAGCAAATTTGGAAAACTCAGCAGTGGCCACAGGACTGGAAAAGATCAGTTTTCATTCCAATCCCAAAGAAAGGCAATGCCAAAGAATGTTCAAACTACCACACAATCGCACTCATCTCACACACTAGCAAAGTAACGCTCAAAATTCTCCAAGCCAGGCTTCAACAGTACTTGAATTGACAACTTCCAGATGTTCAAGTTGGGTTTAGGAAAGGCAGAAGAACCAGAGATCGAATTGCCAACATCTGTTGGATCATAGAAAAAGCAAGAGAATTCCAGAAAAGCATCTACCTCTGCTTCATTAACTATACTAAAACCTTTGACTGTGTGGATAACAGCAAACTGTGGAAAATTCTTAAAAAGATGGGAATACCAGACCACCTTACCTGCCTCCTGAGAAATCTGTGTGTAGGTCAAAAAGCAACAGTTAGAACCAGAACATGGAACAGCAGACTGGTTCAAAACTGGGAAAGGAGTATGTCAAGGCTGTATATGGTCACTCTGCTTATTTAACTTATATGCAGAGTACATCATGTGAAATGCCAGACTGGATAAAGCACAAGCTGGAATCAAGACTGCTGGGAGAAATATCAACAACCTCAGATATGCAGATGACACCACCCTTATGGCAGAAAGTGAAGAGGAACTAAAAAGCCTCTTGATGAAAGTAAAAGAGGAGAGTGAAAAAGCTGGCTTAAAACTCAACATTCAAAAAATTAAGATTATGGCATCCAGTCCCATCACTTCATGGCAAATAGATGGGGAAACAATGGAAAGAGTGACAGACTTTATTTTCTTGGGCTCCAAAATCATTGCAGATGGTGACTGCAGCCATGAAATTAAAAGATGCTTATTCCCTGGAAGAAAAACTATGACCAACCTAGACAGCATATTAAAAAGCAGAGACATTACTTTACCAACAAAGGTCCATCTAGTCAAGGCTCTGGTTTTTCCAGTAATCATGTATGGATGGGAGAGTTGGACTATAAAGAAAGCTGATCACCGATGAATTGATGCTTTTGAACTGTGGTGTTGGAGAAGACTCTTGAGAGTCCCTTGGATTGCAAGGAAATCCAACCAGTCCATCCTAAAGGAAATCAGTCCTGAATATTCACTGGAAGGACTGATGCTAAAGCTCCAGTATTTTGGCCTCCTGATGTGAAGAGCAGACTCATTTGAAAAGACCCTGAAGTTGAGAAAGATTGAAGGCAGGAGGAGAAGGGGACAACAGAGGATGAGATGGTTGGATGGCATCATTGATTCGATGGACATGAGTTTGAGCAAGCTCTGGGAGTTAGTGATGGACAGGGAAGCCTGGTGTGCTGCAGTCCATGAAATCACAAAGAGTCAGACATGACTGAGCGACTGAACTGAATGACTAATGATGCTGGGCATACTTTCACGTGTTTATTGATCCCTCATACATATGTATGTATGTATTTCTTTGAAGAAATGTCTATTTAAATCTTTTGTCCACTTAAAGATATTAGTTGTCAATACTACTCAGCCATAAAAAACAAAGTTGAAACTTTGCCATTTGCAGCAACATGGATGGGCTTGGAGGGCATTATGATAGGTAAAATAAGTCAGACAGAGAAAGACAAATATTGTATGATCTCACTTATGTGAAATCTGAAGAAATACAGCAAGCTAGTAAACATAACAAAAGAGAAGCAGACTTACAGATATAGGTTACCAGTGTGCAGAGGGAAAGAGGAAGGAAGAAGGGCAGTATAGGAATGGGGATTAAGAGGTACAAACTATAAAAAAAAGAAAAGCTGTAAAGATATATTGTACAAAAACAGGGTATATAATATTTTATGATGACTATAAATGGAGTACAACCTTTTTAAATTGTGAGTCATTATATTGCATATCTGTAACATAATATTGTACAACCATATTTCAATTAAAAATTTGAAATTATTTTTAAAATTTCACAAATGTTGTGTTATTGAATTATAAGTTCTTTATATATCATAGAAACAAGTGCCTTATCATACACAAGCTTTGCAAATATTTCCTCCTATTCTTTGGGTTGTCTCTTCACTTTCTCGAAGGCATTGTTTGCATCACAAAAAGAATGTTCACTTATGAACCTTACCTGCTCTCTGAGTTGGAACCACCTCACCTGGACCTTTATTATTCGTTTTGTTTTGGGTGCATTAGCCCTGCCTGGACTATTGGACTTTGATGCTTCTGGGGTCCAAACTCAAGTCTGGTGCTCTTGTGTTCCATCCAGAGTCAAATACAGTGGCCACCCAGTGTGTGCTTTTGTGCAGCTCATGCCCTGATTTTACCTTCCAGGGAGGGACTTGTGGACCCGCAGTTTGCGAAGCAGCACATCAGAAATATTGGGCATGACATCCAGCCCACCTTTTGACTCTTCTTCCTCAATAGCTGAGGAGAGTTCAGAAGGGTGTCCTGGAAAAACACAAAAAATTATTTAAATTATAAAGTGTCTGTTTGAAATCACAGTAATATTCTTGGCAATTTGCTTAAGGGGGTAAGGAAGAACTTTAACATTTATTAGAACCTGGTTATATGCCAGGGGCTTCATAATTGTTATTTTATCCTCACAATAACCCAATAAGCTAGACTTTAATCATCCCATTTTACAGATGGGTAAACCAAGACTCAGCATGATTTATATTGTGTTGGCCAAAAAGTTCATTTGGGTATATCCAATCAAACCCTTTGGCCATGCTTACGGTCAAAGAACTGGTAAATGGCAAGGGCTATGAACAGTTCTATCTGCTCCAAGTTCTCTGTTCTTCCCACTGCTCCCCACAGTACCAAGCAGTCTCTTTTGTCTAGGGTCTGGGATTGGTTTTTGGCAATTGGAAGCTGGTTGGCTCTTTGGCTATACTGTTTAGAAAAATCCCCTCTATTTGGCAGGCTTCTCAGGAGGCCGGCTGCCCAACTAATCTTCCTCAAATGAGTTCCACTATCTGTGTCCTGCTTAGAAATAAGCATTTGCTTCCATATTCCAACAGATAGGAGTAGAAACAGGGTTTTTCCAGAGTAAAGCTAAGGTCATTAGATCTTTGATCTTTTGTGGATCTCTGAAATAGTTGCCTCTGAGTTAGTTGTCCTGAGTTGCCTCAGGACCAATAAAAAGCTTTTTTTTTTTTTTTTCAAATGTCTCCTAAACCTTTCCTTGGTCTGTGCTCTGAAGAGAGAAATAACAAGCCAAGTGTTCCTCTTTCCCACAAATTTTTCTCATGTTCACAGAGAGCTCCAAAGCTTCCTTTCTCCATTTTCCCAACTGTTCAGCGTGGCCTCTAGATATGTCCCATGCCCCCACATTCTGGCTATTGCTACCCCAGAGGCTCCAATGCGCTCCATCAAACTCTTATTTCTGGAGCTTGCTGGCAATGTCCTTTGCACTGACCTCAGTTATTCATTTGGCATAGACTTGCTGTGCCCTACGGGCTCATAGCACACTTAGAATTAAAAGTCTCAAATCTCTTTCACTTGAGCTAAATCAAATATCATACAATGCTTACTTTCCATTGCAGGACTTTATATAGTTATCCATCTTTTACCATCTTTCATGGATTTGGGCCTAGCAGATTTCCAGAACGATAGTCAAGGCCTGAGATCAGGACTATGGGCAAGGTTGTAGTAGCCATGTAAATGGAGCTAAGATTGGGAGTCATGAATTAGAAGCCTCCTCAAGCGAGATCACGTGGTGAAATGATTAGGTATACTTTGGCTCTAGGTGAAGAATGTTTACATGCTTAGATCTTTCCAACAACTGAACAGTGTTGATGATATTCCTGGTCCTCAAGGCATCCAGCAAAGTCTAGAGAGCCATCTGTCAGAGCCAGGGCAGTCAGCAATCCTTCTTGGGATATGAGACTCTACTCATATCACATAGCTAGTTCTCTTAGCTACCTGTCACCTCTTGAGCTCTGCCCTGACACTGCTCTCTGACATTTCCGTGTGACAGATGGCAAATCTTGTGATGCCTTTGGCCTTACTCTGCCTTTATGTATCCCCACTGCACCCAGCAGGGAGAAAATGAAGAAGTGGGCTCCTGAGAAATCTATAGGATTGACAGAAATATACAAGATCTAATAATCATAGGGAAGTCATATGAGGGGGTTTTTGCCTGGAAAAGTCCCCTAGGTAGAACCCCACCCACTAAAATAGCTGTCTTAAGAGTGATCCATGGGATTTCCCTGGTGGTCCAGTGGCTAAGACTCTGGGTTTCCAATGCAGGGGGCCCAGGTTCGATCCCTGGTCAGGGAAATAGACCCCACACGCATCAACTAAAGATCTCACATGCCACAGTGAAGATCAAAGATCCTGCATGCTGCAGCTAAGAACTGGCACAGCCAAATAAATAAGTAAATATTATTTTTTTAAATGGTGATCTTAGAACTAGTGGCTCTCAGAACCAGCCACCCTCCTGATTGCAACCAAATTGACAACAATGCCAACAAAAAAATTTAAAGTCAACTAAAAATATATCACAACTCTCAAATACAAGAAAAGATAATAATCTTTAAAAATAATGGTCAGAGAAAAATTTCCTAGAAATAAATGTAGAGCTCCCAACATTGTTAACTCTTTCTTCCTCCCTCAAAGAATCAGTCTAGAGAGGAAGATATCAGAGGTAATAGTAAGGTTGTGACAAACTTTTGTAGCCAGTTTTGTGACTACAGAGCCAGAAGAGAACAGGACCAAGGGGTGAGTGGTCAGATGCAGAGGTGTTCAGAAAGTTTCTCTAGAGTAGAAGATCTCCACCCCACCAAACAACACTCCAACAAGACGAAAAATTGCCTGTCCTGCTGTTTGTTTTTCATACTGAGGAGGAGAGGAGAAGAAAGGAAAAGCAGAATGATAACACGGTATTCTACCAGAGCTGATGATTTCAAACAATATAAAGGGATTTACCAGAAAGGAAGATACATGAGAAAATAAATCAAACAAGTCCCTCTGATGGAGTGAGTGGCAGAAGACACATGGAAAACCCCAGCTGAAAATTGACCCACCCATCCTGCACTTCTGAGAAATAGCAGAGTGGCCAAACTCTTTGAATTTTGTCTGTCTTTTCTTTCCTTTCTCTGGCAGAAGAGTGAGAGTGGCTGCTGGCAATGGATGGGTCAAGGGTGGAAAATAAACACCTGGGCAGATTGTCCCTATAATTATACCCTGAATTGGTGAAATAATCCATGCCTTACTACTGCCCACCCAAGGGAATAGATATACCACCCCCCCCGACTTCGCTGTAATAAATTCAAGTGCTACGGTACGAAAAAAGTTATAGAAAAAGAGCAGAAACCAACCCACAATCACCACCACCCACAGCTCTGTCTGAACTTCCCCTTTTCCCCACTCTCCAGGCAGTGACCAAGCAGACACAAAATACCCGGTCTTCAACTAAGCGCTGCCAGGAGGACAGATCTCAGAAGAGGTAGGAAGAAGTCAATGAAAATTGATCCACATGATAGATCTAGGTCCAGAGAAACTTCAAGTAGACATGTTCTTATCAAAAATAAATTAAATGAAAACAAATGTCATGGCAACTACACAAAAATAGTCAAAAGAGGAAGGAAAGTGGGGAGGAAGGTATAAAGGAAAGAAGAAAGGAAACATGCAGGACACAGATGTCAGGATGGAAGCAGAGATGCAAGAAACACGTCAAAAATGCATTTTGTGTCAAGGGTATGCCACAAGTGCTTTGACTCAAGGGGTAATTAGAACCCTCCCCCCCCAAAAATGAAAATAAGAACCAGAGGTGAAATTAGAGGATGGCATAAGATGGAAGAAGATTACAATCTGAGAAAATAAACTGAAGACCAAAAATAATAAAACAAAGCAAAAAATTCTAAAAATATAGATCTAACCAATATGTTGGAAATATGAAGAAATAAAAACAAAGTTTCAAGTGCAGTTAGTGGAGGAAACTGAGATGAGCTCAAGGAATAAAAAAGGAAAGAAAGATTAAAGTATTGAGAGGTAGAATAATGGACCTACAGTGGGGACACTGATGAGAAATTTCCAGATTATGGTGGCTCTGAAGTAGGAGAGAAACAAAAGGAACAAAGAACAGAGTCAAAGATAAGAGAGAAGAAAAAATTTCCTCCATGGAGAGAAAAGCCAAATTTGCAGACTGAAAAAGCACACCACTACAGGAAAAAATACATGTATATATAATCTTATTCTTTCTATGTATGTAGATATATCTTATATAGATCTTTATATATGGATAGGGAAATGCTTCTCCAACAACCCTCATAGAAAGAGTAAGCCACCTACAGGGAAAGGTGAAGACTGAGAGGTACTGTAAATAAGCTGGTCTTAGATTTCTCAGCAACACTGAATACAGGGTAGCATTTATAAAGATCTGGGGAAAAGAGAGATCCAGAATGTATAAACATCCAAGCGCTCTTTCAAGGGACTTCCTTCCCTGGTGACTCACTGGTAAAGACTCCACCTGCCAATGCAGAAAGGTGTGTTCTGTCTCTGGGTCAGGAAGATCCCCTGGAGAAGGGAATGACAACTCACTCCAGTATTCTTGCCTGGGAAATTTCATGGACAGAGGAGCCTGGTTGGCTATCGTCCATGGGGTCACAAAGAGTTGGACCTGAGTTAGTAACTAAACAGACCAACAGCAACAGTACCTCAATGGTATTTTTGAAGTGTTTATATTTCTTGTTACTTTGTGGCTTAGATAATCATACACTGCATCCTTTTAAAATGTATATCAAAGACTGGTTCTGGGCCCTTGATTCTGTTTTATTCTGATAAGTACTATACCACTTTAACTACTACTGCCTTATAATATGTTCTAAGTGTATAATCAGTTACTTTTCCCCTCTTGCTGTTTTTTTTTAAAAGAGTATTCATTATATTTTAGATATAAAGATTCAGTGAAAATTAATAGAAAGAGCAACTAGACAAGAATTCAGGAGATTGGACTTCATGGCCAAATACCACTTAACAGTGTCTGGTGTCTTTCAATGTGTCTGGTGTCTTTGTGACACTCTGGACTGTAGTATGCCAGGCCCCTCTGTCCATAGGATTCTTCAGGCAAGAATACTAGAGTGGGTTGCCATGCCCTCCTCCAGGGGATCTTCCTGACCCAGGCATCAAATCTGTATCCCCTCCTGGGCAGGGAGTTTTTTTACCATTGAGTCACCTGGGAAGCCCAATCTTTGAGGTAACAGAATCTTAAATCTTCAGATACATATATCTTATTAAATAAAACAAAATTCAGAAGTATTAGTAAGATAAATACAAATATAACTATATATAAATTGCTAGAAAACAGATTTGCTACCCCAATTAAGGAGAAATAATTGGGCTTCCCTGGTGGCTCAGATGGTAAAGAATCCACCTGCAATGTAGGAGACCTGAGTTTGATCCCTGGGTCAGGAAGATCCCCTGGAGAAGGGAATGGCTACCCACTCCAGTATTCTTGCCTGGAGAATCCCATGGGCAGAGTAGTCTGGTGGGCTATAATGCATGGAGTCGCAAAGAGTTGGACACGACTAAGTGACTAACACATATATACCAGAGAGAATAAAAAGTTGCTGCTTTTTAAGAATTTATGGGGTTGTGGGCAAAATTTTTAAGATAAATCTTTTTCTAGGGTTTTAGACCTGCTTTAATAAAGAAGTTAGAAATTAAAAGTAGAGATCATATTTTTTCCAAAGATCTCATCTAAAGATCATTTTTTAAAAATTAGTTCTTTAAAAAATTACTGGATATTTTACTTCTGTGAATCCGCTTGTCAATGCTGAATAGGTAGGAGTTAGTTGTTATATGTCAGACTGTGTGCTAAGTCACATCAGTCATGTCTGACTCTTTGCAACCCCGTGGACTGTAACCCGCCAGGCTCCTCTGTCCAAGAGATTTCCCAGGCAAGAATACTGGAGTGCGTTGCCATGCCCTTCCCCAGGGGATCTTCCTGACCCAGGGATTGAATGCATGTCTCCTACGACTCCTGTATTGGCAGGCAGGTTCTTTACCACTAGCACCACCTGGGAAACCCCTATGTCGGACTGGGGGCTTCCATCATAGCTGGTGGAACCGTGGACATGAACACACAACAGTCCTTAGGCAGAAGGCTTCTGTGCTGAGAATGACTGAATGAGCATCAGCCATCCTGAGAGGGAGCTTGGGGTGGAGGGGAGGCAAGACCTCCCCACAAGTCTTCCTTTCTGAAGATAAGTCTGGCAAGACAGTGGGTGGGGCCTTGCAGTCCCCAGGAAGGAGGGGCTGGGGTCTGGACTGCAGATTAGAAAGCAAGAGATGACTCTGATGTCTCAAAAAGAGGAACTGCTCTAGTTGGTGACATCCTGGGTGTGAGAGGAAAAGGAAGCATCAAAAGTTCAGGCCTGGGTCACCCTTCCAGACCCACTAGGTGCTAATGAGGCTCAAGGAGGACTGGCAGGATCTGGAACAGGGGCTGTTCGGAAGGAGGCAAGTTTAGAGGTTCTCTGAGTGAGCAGGAAACACCATCTGATTCATTCATTCATCCATCTGCAAATATTTAGCAAGGGCCTGCTCTGCGTCTGGCCCACACTCGCCACCAGGACGGACAAAGGCCCTGACAGGAAGTGCAGTGTTTACACGTTCAGCTTCTTTGATCTGGAGAAAATGAATCCAGCCCTAGCCTGGATTCAATCCCACCTACCTTTTTCCTGCTCGGCCGCTTCACTAAGTTCTGGAAGCTTGAGCCCCACTAAGGTCTGATTTCTCAGCAGGATGTGCTCCTTTTTAGGGAAAGAAAGACAACATTTCAGATGGCGACCTCACGCTGGACTCCTCCCCTCGGTTCTCTGGCTCTGTGACTGCTCAGTTTCACGGAGCCGACACTAGGAACATGGACCGTCACGACACCTGAGGGGCACTAGGAAGACCGCTTCTCTCCCGGCCCATAAAGGTGCTAGAAACTTCAGCACCCCATTCCCTGAGTCAGGAATTGTCCTTGGTGCGGCCACCTTTTAAAATAGGCCTGTGAGCCTCAGAGCGAGAGAGCGGCCAGCCACATGGTGGCTGAAGGCTGGAGGACAAACAGAAGCAGAGCCGGGGGCTCTGGGGAAAGGAAGGTCCCCTGGGTGTAAATGGAGCTGCCAGAGATGGAAACAATCTCTGTGATCTCATGGCTGTGCTTAGCTGGCTGGAGCCTCCTGCCTTGTTGTTCTTGGGCAGTGAGTGCCCGCTTCCGGGACTCGTGGCCTCCCCTGCCCCCAGCTCCTCAGCGGCCTGTGATGGCACCTCTTGAGATGTTCAACTCTCCAGACCAATGAGGACTGCAGATTGCCGCCCCAAGGCAGCGGGCCAGCAGCCCCTTCTGCTGGGGGCCTCACCAGCAGAGCTGGGGACAGATGGGGCTGCTGACTCCAGGTATGTGGCACAGGAAGCCTCACACTTGCACCAAGTCCAAGACCAGCACCCCCAGGAGGAATTGCTGGACAGGGCTCCTCAGCCCCATGACTTGTGCTTTCTAAGAGGGTTTTCTGTGTCCCTGTAGCAGAGGCCACTTGGGCAGTTTGCCTCCTGGACGAAGGAGAGGAAGAGGCCAGCAGAGGGAGCTCTGGCCCAAATGGAAGTCACAGGCAGGGCCTTTTACCTGTTTCTTTAGCCAGCTGCCCACAACCAAGCAGCTCTCAGGACCCCGGATTGGGGTAGCGGTGGAGGGCTGGGGATGAGGTCAGATGCAGGGCAGTGGTTAGTGAAATGGGGCTTCCAAATTCTTTGTACTTTACTGAAGAGAGAAATGCAGGGGTCTGGGGGTAGCCTGTTGCCTGGGCCTGCTCTCTGATGCCCAGAAGCCCAAGAAGGCAAATGCCTGACTATTTGGCTTCCTTGGGGTCACTCCTCCCTGTGGAGTCCTGGCTGCCTTGGCCTGTGGTCTGGATTGGTCCTCTGGGGAAGGAGGGCTCAGGTAAGAATTTCTTTGCCTTAGTGACCTCTTTTCTTCCTCACATCCAGGGCTCTCTCCACCACCCCCATCTCTGGATGTCCCCCAGTCATTAGCATGGCAGCCTAATGACAGACAGTTGTGTCTGGTTTGATGGCCAGTGAAAGCTGGGGACATCACGGATATTGGAAGAAATTCACCAAGAGGGAGTAGCCCTTTCTGGCCAGGTATGATGGATTTGAGGCCCTTTGTTAACAAGCAACAGGGAGGAAAGCTTGGGGGCATGACAGAAAGAAAAGTCATCCCATCCTTGTCTGTCCAAGGCAACAGAGCGCTCCATCAAAGGCTTCTTGCTCAGAAGGCATCAGCTCTGGCTGGAGCGGGGAAACACAGCCCAGCACTGAGGGCCCATGTACCCTTCCACACAACCACTTTCCCCTCAAAATGTGGCTTTATGTGGCAGCTACTCCCCAGCTGACCTCGCCCGAGGGAGCGAGTAAAAGCTCTCAAAGATGATATTTATGCAGAGCGCACAGCCCAGCGGGCCTGGCTTCTCAGGGTGGGGACTTTTAGGGCTCTCCAAAGCCCACGTCTGGGCCAGAGCCACCCCGTTCCAGGGCCCAGCTCAGCCCAGCGACCTCAGCCCAGGGTGGGGACCTGCATGCACAGCCCACCCAGGAGGCCCCAGAAACCCACCTCACGAAGCTTGGTCAGTTTCTGCATCCGCACAGGCTGCACTTGTATCTGAAAGTCTTTGAGTCCGGGTGCCTTGGCCAGCTTGCTGCCAGCTTTGCCTGTAAAACGCTTCTCTTCCTCAGCCAGCGGCAGCTTGGCGAGCACTTTCTGCAGCCGGGGGCCGGGCTCTTCGGGGCCGCTGTCCCAGGAGACCCCCCGCAGCAGGGGTGGCCGGGACGTCGGGGGCCACAGCTCAGCTTTGGAGCCAACCTTGGACCCTGTGGGCTCTCCGATTGTACTCTTCCCCTGGGGGGCCTGGGGAGCCACCCCCCCAGAGCCCTGGGTTGGAGCTCTGGGCAGAGGGTTGCCCTCCTTGGCTGTCTTTGCCGGCGGCTTCCCCAGCTCGCTCTCCACAGGGCCAGGCTGGGGGCTGTTAAGGGCCATCTTCCCACCACTGCCTGGGCCAGAAGCTGGGCCCTTGGGTATGGCCTCCGGGCTCTGGAGGGGATCGAAGTTTTCCTTCTGCTCTATTGTAATTTCTTTGGACTTCTCAACTGTGGGAGAGCGGGGAGTCAGCCTGCCCTGAGACAGTTTTCTCTGGTCATTCTGCTTCCGGTCAGCTAGCCCTTTGAGAACATTCTGAAAGAGACAGGGTAAATTTGGGACCCCGCAGGCAGGTTGGAGAGAAGGGCGAGTTCATTTCTGCCGTGGGGTCTCTACCCCACAGACCCTGCTAGGGGGGGTGGGCTAGGTAGAAAGGGAGGACTGCAAAGTCACATCTGAGCCAGCAAAAGGAACCTACAAACAAGCCTGGGGTTTGTAAAACAGACAGGACAAGGGGACCTGCCATTCAAAACCTGCCAAGAACTTCTCGAGGGCTAGGAGCTGCAGAGTACAGTGGGACGGAGGGCAGCCCGGGGGCAGTCACAAGTTCTGGCTTTGACTCAACTGCCCCAGATTCTCACCCTGACTGCCTGGCAGGGCCCTTAACTCTTAGGGCCTCGGATTTCCCTTCAGGTTTGTAAACTCTCTGAAATTATATGTGAATGTATATGTGCTGTTCATGGGCTGTATGTATTTTTCTGGGTAGGGAATCCACAGCTTTCAACAATTTCTCAGAGTTCTATGATCCAAAAGAGGCTACAGATCACTGAATGAGGTGATTCTTGCAAAGCTGACCTTTTACTCTTCAGAAGTTCTGAGATTCTATATCCTTTCATTTCCCAGGGAAACCTGCTTTGTGAGGCACATGTGGGTCTGTGTGGGTATTTGTGCGGCTGTCCTGTGTGTGTGCTGACACTCCAATAGAGGACTCTATCCCAGACCCAGTTCTATTAATAGATGAGATTATATTCTATGCTGCCCTTGACACCACCTTGAGCAGTTGACTCTGAGCAGGTGTGGGACTCTTCTTTTTCTCATCAGCCAAGATAAAGTTTTCCAGGTGACCCCCAAGAAGAGCCCCAACTAGGGGCTGGAGCTTGCCTGCAATTTTCATGCAAGCTGACTGGAACAGCAGACTTGCCCGGCTTTTGCTGGGTCCAGAGGCCCCCCGGGCCTAGACCCCCAGGGCAGGACCTAGACCTGAGCAGGACCACCATGGAGGTCATTCCCACTAAATCCCACCTCCTCACCCCCTCCTCCTCAGAATTCCAGTCAACGCAGGGCAGAGGAAATTTCTAGCTTCCTCAGCCTGAACCTTCCACTCACACACACCCACTGGCAGGCTGCCCAGGGCCTAGCCTTCTGGGACACTGTGTCTCCCACACTCCAATCATCCCAGCTGGGCAGAGCTCAAACTCACAGACTCGCCAAGGTGAGGTGAAGGGACTTCGGCCTCATCCCCCTTCTGCTGGAGAAAGTAAACATGAGTCAGCCAGCAATGAGAAGAGACCCTATCTCTTCTTGAAACACCCTCAAGGAGACCCTACAGTGGTGTCGATGCCTCCCCCACCCAGCAGCCCCACCTCCAGTGGGTCACAGGGGGCCTCTCAGGAATTAAGGGGTAAGAGAAGAGACTGGCCGGCACAGAGATCCCACAGCAGCCCCGTTACCTGTGGTGGAGCTCCGGGCAGAGGGGACGGTGGGCCACTGCACACATCCAAACCTAAAATAGTCCAGATGCTGGTGAGTGACGCCCAGCGCCCCCAGATTCTCAGCTGTCCTCCCCAGAAGGTCCTCCCCCTCGGGTCCCTCAGGCTTGGAGCCAGTGTTTGTTGAATAACCGTCACAATGCTGCTCCATGGGGAGCCCCCATCTAATCATCACGGAAACCGCATAAGCAGGCTGGGGCAGAGGGAGAGCAAGGCCACACAGCCAAGAGAGTCAGCGCTGGACTCTGAACCTGGGTTGCCTGGCCCGAGCCTGAGCTTGCCCTGCAGCTCCAACCAGGGCAACCTGCTCTCCTGGGCACCTCACTCCTTCCCTGGCTGAGCTGTGGTTATGGCTCTGAACACAGCCTCATGAAGGGAAGCAGTCAAAATACAAATTGTGGCCCAAGTGGAGGCCTTTGCAGTAAGCTCTGAGGTCCCCTCTCTCTGAAGCCTCTCTGAACAAGGGGCCCCTGTCACAGCTTGCTCCCACCACCTTGCGCCCATCCTCACCCTGGGCCAGGCCCATCTCCCCATGCTAGCTCGAAGCCCTGAAAGCAAGCATATCTTCCTCCTCTGAGGCAGCCCAGTCAGGCCCCGGGGGAAGGGGCCAAGAGCGGGTCCTGCCTGGGAAGCCCGCAGGATGGGAGCCCTGGGGCCCAGTGGAGGGACTGCACCGCCACCCAGCGGGAGGAGCCAGGGCAGGCTATGTCGGGGGACTGGACCTCACCGGGCAAAGTGGGGACCGTGAGGGAGTTGCTCTGAGAGGATGCAGGAGAAGCTCCGGGACTGAGGTTTGGGGAAACAGCTGTGGAGACACACAAATTGGCCAGCATTCGTGAAGGTTCAGGACTTCAGTCTGACAAAGACATCCTTTCAGGTTATGTCTCACCCTTGGGGACCGGGTCTGCCTCACTGGGTTCACAAGCTGATTCTAGACTCTATATAAGGCTTCTGCCACAGCCCAACCCCTACCTGTCCCAAGAGAGGGGGCACTGAAGTCACAGGGATACGGACGGCAATTTGGGTCTTACTCCTCAGTCTGCCTGGCCTCAACCCAAAGTACCTTCTAGAAACAGAGGACCTGGCATCGCTTGGCAGGTATGGCTCCAAAGGCTGTACCTCTTAGACTTGCCAGGATGGCCCTTATTTTAATTGCACACCTTGTCTCCTAAGTACATTCAGATCTGTCTAACTGCCCCAAATTTTTGCTCAAGAAAAAAGAGTGACTTTAGCCAAAGGGTTAACAGGAGGATTTCAGGGTCCACGAAAACCTCCTAATCCAGAAATTTCATAAAAACACCAAAGACTGCCTTCCTTCCCCCTTAGTAGCTAGGATGCTTCCCTTCCAGCTGGAGGTCAAGGAGAGGGAGCCCAGTGCCGGCCTCTCCTGACCTTCGCAGGGGAGGTGCCCACAGAACAGGGCCTCCTGCGGGGATGGGAGGAGGCCACACAGACCCGACTTGCAGGGTGGCCCAGGGGTCTGTGCACACTGGCATCACAGAGGATTTCTCTCCTTTCAGAGTTCAGGGACTGGGGAGCCCAGGTCAAGTTCATGGGTATCATATGGGCTAGCATTTCTTGCAAAGCGGGAGGACACAATGGTAACACATAGCCCCCCAAACTGAAAGGTCAGAGAGCTTTCTGGGCTAGAGTTGGGTATTTCAGAGCTTCTGATACGGGGCAAGATGCCCTCCCCTCACAGGATCCTCTCCATGAGGCTCAGTCCTCCTTGGGCCCAGAGGCCTGGTGGCAGGTGCATGGAGTGCACCCCTCAGAGGCAGGGCTCCTGCTACAGCTGCTGCCTGGCCCTCCCCACCCCCACGGCCCTCAGAGGGGCTCAGAGCGGCCACCCCTCCTACCTTGTGGGGGGTCTGCGGGGCTGCTCCTGGACTTCCTTCCGCGGCGGGCCAGGAACCGCTCGCTCACCGACTTGGCTTCCTCCAGCAGCGCCAGGTTTTTCTTCTTGTCCTCCTCTGAGATGCTGATGTCCGGCAGCTGGTCATTGACCAGGTCAATGACGTGCCCTGCAGGGTCTGCAGAGGCAAGTGAGCTCCAGGTGAGACCCATGGAATCCTTGGTGTCTCAGGGCCTCAGCCCTGCCCCCAACCCCCAGCCCTGAGCCCACAGATGCCGCCCAGAGTGGACTCGGCCAGTCAAACCTCAGCCCAATTCCGGACCCTGGAGAGGGCTACGAGGGGACAGACAGGCTCCCTCAGCAGGCCTAGCCCCACCAGCCCATGGCTTGTGGCATGACTTCTGTCACAAATGACTATGAAATCCCCCAGGTTCCCTGTCCTAAACTCTACCATCAGGAGCCCCACCTGTGCTATCTGCTCCCCTAGTGTGCTCCCTTTGGGTCTCTGTTCCTTTAACGAGCCAAGGACACAATCCCAAGGCCACCTTCCATCATTTTTCCCTCTGTTCATGCTGTTTACCCCTGTGCTGTGCTAAGTCGCTTCAGTCGTGTCCGACTCTGTGCGACCCCATGGACTGTAGCCGGCCAGGCTCCTCTGTCCATGGGATTCTCCAGGCAAGAATATGGAGTGGGTTGCCATGCCCTCCTCCAGGGGATCTTCCTGACCCAGGGATCGAGCCCGTGTCTCTTACGTCTCCTGCATTGGCAGGCGGGTTCTTTACCCCTAGTGCCACCTGGGAAGCTCCTCTATCCTTATTCTATCCTTCTCCAAACCTTACCCCATCCTTCTCCAAAACTGCCCCTTCTCCAGGAGACTTTCCCTGGGTGAGTGATACCACCTCTCACCCAGCTGCTCAGAAACATGGGAGTCACTCCACACTCTTTCCCCCTTCTCAGTCCACCCAGGTCCTGCCAACTCATCATCAAGTAAATATCCCTGGAACCTGTGCCTCATCTCCATTTTTGCTCATCAGCTGTAACTTACTTGCTCAATTACATCAGCACTTCCCAGGTCCTTTCCACCTCCAGGTTACCTGCACCATCCCATCCTCCACTGCCTCTCAGAGTGACCATCCTAAGAGCCTCCTCTGCCCATGCAGTTCTCCTGCCTCAGCTCCGCAGGATTCCTCATGGTCCCCAGGGTGACATCAGATGCCCAGCTGGGCCCAGCCACTCTTCCTGAAGCCACATGCTCCTCTCCTCCAGCCCCTCCGTGGTGAATGTCTCCTGTTGTGCCTCTCCAGCCTCCTTTCCTCCTTCTTCCCATCAGAGCTCCCCAGTCTGCACTGGGTGAAGCTCACTAGAGTCTCAGTCATGTTGGGGAATCAGGAAGGAGCTAAACCCTGTTGCCTGCCTCATCTCATGTACCAGTAATGGAACTGTGTACCATCCTCAGCCAGTGCATGAGCTCAGTCCCCCTGGGTGGCTGGCTCAGGGATGGCCAGGCGAGGCAGTGAGAGGCAATTCTGAGGAAGGTGTTGGGTGTATGGGGAAGAGGAACTCTCTTTTCACTGAAGGGATATAAGTTGCTCATAGACATTTGCCCAGAAGAAAGCCAGCACACGAGAGAGGAGACTGGGGAGAGCAGATGAGATGATCGTTCACGACCCAGCGTGAGCACCTGGGGTTAGCACGCCCTGAAAACACAGACCCTGGCTTTTATTTATTTTTTGGCATGACCTAATTTAAGCTGAGCTTCTGTGATGTGAGAGTCGTGACTAATACACACAGCAAAGCATTCAGTTGCTCTGTTAAGGCTCCTGCTCCCCAACAGTGTTGCTTCTTCCATCCATTTCCTCCCTCATGTCCACCTCTCTAAGCCACAACTCACATACTCCCCCGTCTGGAATACCTATCCAGCCCTCCCCGTCTCTAGCCAGAATTGGTGCCCTTCTTGACTCAGTTTCCCTAACCCTTTTGGGAAGGACCTGGCCACAGTGTCTTGATTCTATCCGTTCACTTGTCAGCCTCCTCACCGACAGTGAGTGACATGCAGGCAGAGCCCACGCCTGTACTTGCGTTCAGATGGTCCAGAGCAGGCTCTGAGGTACCCTGGGGAAGGAGAAGGTGGCTGGGGCAGCCAGCCTTGCAGCTAAGCCCACACCTACCTGGATGTGGGCCTTTCTAGCTGGGGGCGGAGAGGCTCACCTAGCCCTTCTGTCTCCCTTTGCCTTATCTTCCTCTGTATGCCCAGGACTTGTGTTTTTACCAAAACAAACTGAAATCAGATGTTTGGGCTCAAACACAGAGGGCTCATCGATGTTGCCCTGTTGGGCTTCTAGGAACGGACTCATCTGAGAAACAGGAGTGGGGAGGAGGCCAAGCTGCCAGACCTCAGTCTTCCTACTCAAACACACCTTCAGCTGGCCCTCTACCTCTGGCTGCAGAAATAAGAGAAATCAGCCTAGTCCTTACCCACAGAAGTCAGCGAAGCAGTGGAAACCTTCAAGTGTCGGTGAGAAAGCCTCCTGTGGGGACTGTGGGCTCTGAAAGACAGGACAGAATCACCTTGTTAAGAAAATTTGTCCACTGAGCATGTAAATAGGTGCCTAGATGTTTGCCTATGCTTTTAAAGTCATCCTAGAGCATGGCTTTCAATCTCGTCTAAGCTTGGGATTTGTTAGAAACACACATTCTCAGGCCCCACCCACCAACAGGATCAGAAACTCTGGGGATGGGGTCCAACTCTGTGTGATTGATTGAACAAGTCCCACCCCCCAAAACCAGGTGCTTCTGAGGCTCGCTCAACCACTTCCCTTAGGAGATGTAACTTTGTTTATCAGGGCTCAGACTCTGAGCATCTAACTTGCAGAAAACTCATAAAATGTGAGTAATTGCCTGGTAGAGATGCAGATGATTTCTGTTGGGGAAAAAACATTAAAAAAAAAATGTTTCATTGTCCCATGAAACATTAACCTATTTTATATCTAACTTGGCAATCTTATTCCAGCTTTCTTGTCCTCACTGATTATATTAAGTATGTCCATTTCTTGTATTCTCTTTTGAACTGGTTTTGTATTCCTGATGGTCCCCCCACCCCATTAATGAGTTAAATAAATCTTTGACACAGGCTCATTACATATCTGTATTAGAGTATTCTTGGCAACTTTTTGGAAATTACACTTAGGCCCTCTCATTCCAGTTAGACGAAGGCATGAGCTGGTGCTGTGTGAGACTGAGACAGTGACGTCCCCGTGCATCTGAGCCCGTCTTCCTCCCACGAGGTCATCTGCCACACAGGCAGAATACTAGTCAAGAATCCACCTCTTTCAGGTCTGTTTGTGAATATATGGGCAGATATGATAGGAAACTCCCCTGCTATAATTTTTGCTTTTCTTAAAGGTTAGCCAAGTGCAAAGATCTGAATCCAGGAGAGAAAATAATATGGGGGAGGGGGAGGTAATGGAAAAATGCCATGCTCTCTCTCCCATTTTGAAAAACCGCTTGATTATATTTCATCAATAAAATCATCAAGAAAGAAGAAAAGATTTGTAAAAAAAAAAAAATAGAGTTGTGTAATCCCACCTGCTAGGAAATAGTGGCCTTTATTGCATAGATTAGGCACATAGGATGTACCTGTCGACCGGGTTTTTGTCAGTTTCTCCTTCCGGTGAACTGGCATCCCCAGTCAGGATGATGGTGGGTGGACTGCAAGATATTCCTGCGGTGGCAGGGTCCTGGTGATTTAGAACAAGAACACAGATGGAGTTAAGCTTTCAAGAGCTGGGACCTTTATTCCAGCGTTGTGATACCAGAGCCTTCTTGATATGGGCCAAAGGCAGTTTATTTGGATTATCCAGAAAAAAGAAAAAGAAAAAAGTTTCTCCTTCATTCACCTAGCTTAACTTGGTTTATCTTTTAGGCACTAAGATTAGGAAACGACAAAGCAATTCCTGGTTATTTCTCACTAACAATGTATTAATAGGAAAAGAACAATAGAGTCCTTAGGCTGCAACCAGCCTGCTTGGGGAAGGATGCAGGCCAGCAGAAAAGGTGGTGACACACAAAGCGACAGCCCTCCATTTGGCTAATTGTGACATTTCAGTAAAGGTGATTTGTTCCATGGGTAATGGAACATGGTTTTTAACTTTTCTAACTTTGTAAAAATGTTTTAATAAATAAACATTTCTGAAATAATCACAAAAGTTACAGGCCAATCCTTGAATTTTTGAGATAGTTTGCAACTACTAAGCAAAACAGAACAAAACTTCTAGCCACCAAAATGAAAGTTATTACATTGTAAGTTGGAGCGGCTATAGTGAAAAATGGTATACTGTTATGCTGCTAATGGCTGTGTGAGTTGTAAAACCCTATGTATACAAATATACAAATTTGTATGTTACAAATATGTATAATAAATATTTGTTGAGTGAGTAAATGAATGAATGAAATAAAAGCATGCTGTATAGGATATACAACAGAATTCATAAAGATGCACGTCAACCTGTGTTTTCCCACACCTAAGTGGATTGGAGACAGAAATAGGACCAATGAACAGTAACAATAGTATCTCTGATTTTTCTGCCACCTGATGTCCCAGTATATCCATCTCAGAATTGTTCCCAGTTATAACTGGGAGACTCTCTGGGGGTCCTCTTTTATGATCCTTCATCATTTTCCTTCTCCTTGCCCTGCTCTCCCATACTGGTGTGTGATGTTCCAGCCCTCTGTGAATGTCCTACTCTCCCTACCAAAGGCCTGTCTCCCTTTGGTCCTGAGCATGTCACACCACCTACAATATCAGTGCAGCTTCCTGGAGCTTCAGAGCAGTGGGTCCCCACGGCCTCTTTCTATGGAGGTCATGTCCTTCTAGAGCCTCTGGGCATTAGTGCTCTTACCTCTATTGGCCTCGATGAAGCCATGGCCTGGGGGCTGCCCTCACAGAGCCAGGCTAAGCTGTGTTCTTTAGCCCTTGGTATGCAGGGGTTGGCTTTTCTCAAGGTGGGGAGGAGGCCCTCTCTCGTTTTCACATTATTCTTTCTTGTCAAGTAGGTACTATACAGAGTTATCTGGACTTCTTGATTCCCACAACTTTTAGTGAAACCAGCTCTTCCATTTTCATCTGCGTCTATTCCCTCCCTTGGCCTCAAATATGAGGCCAGGTGAGCTGGGGAAGAGTCTCTGAGTCCAGCCAGGGAATGCCAGATCCCTGTGTTCCACAATGTTTCAGCAGGAGGGAGTTGCAGTGATGAGACAGGAAGAAGTCCTCAGAATCCCTGAGCACATGGAAGGAAACTTTAGACAAGGGCTCTGGCTGGGTGGGAGTAGGAAGCAGCATTGCCTTTTTCCTTTTCCTTTGGAAGAATCACACCCTCAACTTTCTGCTAGTCATCCACTAGCTGTGTGTCCTCGGGCAAGCTACTTAACCTCTCTATGCCCCATGACAACTCACAAGGCTGATGTGAGGATTAAAAATAATGTTGACAAAGTACCTTAGCACAAGACTGATATATCAATAAACAGTCATAGCATTGTCAAATCACTTTTCTCTCTCACTCAACAAACACATTTTAGTTATGCATCATGTGCCAGAAGCAGTATGAGATACAAAGACCCTCAAGAGCTCACAGACAAGCAAGGGATACAGAGAAGTAACTCATACTGATAATACATATCAGGTGATAAGGGATGAACCACATTCTTTGCAAGCTCAAAGGAAAGCAAAGCGAACTCTCTTATGAGGGGAGCTGGAGAAGACTCTCCAGAGGAGGGGACATTTAAGCTAGCTCTTGAGGGATGAATATGAGTTTGCAATACAAAGATATTAGAGGAGGGACTTCCCTGGTGGTCCAGTGGTTAAGAATCTGCCTTGCAATGCAAGGGATAGGTGTTTGGTCCCTGATCAGGGAACATAAGGTCCTACGTGCCACGGAGCAACTAAGCCCACAAGCCACAACTAGAGAGTCTGTGTCACACGAAAGATACCGAGTGACTCAGTGAAGCTCCTGGCTGCAACTAAGACCTGACCCAGCCAAATTTAATTAATTAAAAAGATATTAGGGGAGAGGTTTTGGGCAAAGGAAACAGCCTTAGTAAAAGGCATAACAGCACTAAGGATTCATCAGTGTAGCTGGAGCATAGACTATGGAGTATGTGAAATAACTTGCTTACTCTTCCCCGACCCCTTTCCCTCTCTCCCTCTCTCTGTTCCTCCCCAACCCAGCTTAGTCTTCCAGCTCCATTCAGTTCTTCATGGTGCAGATTGCTTTAAACCACCCCCCTCTTTTTTTAATGATTGACACAAAAGTTTTCAAAAGTCTTAGAGTCTAAGAGAGCGGCCAGTCTGTAAACTTTTGCACATTATTGCACTTAATTCTGTCTGTTTATCCAGCAAACATTTATTGAATGCCTCCTACATGCTATGGTCTATGCTAGGGCCTACGCAGACAAAGGTGAACCAGGAGGACCTCTGAAATACTTCCCCAGCTAGCACAGTGGGAGGGGAGTGAGGTAGAAGTACCCTCCTCCCCACCACTACCCATCCCAGGTAGGGTCCCGCCAGTCCTGCCTGTCCGGTTGGGTGCCCTCAAGGTTGACACTGTGAGGTAACTGGTCTGCAAGGCACTGGAGGGCCTACTTTCCAGTGGAATTTCCCCTGACTCCTGGTGAAAGGGGTGAATATGAGTCACTCTTCAGAGGTGACTGTCATACACGGGGCTCCTGGTACCCTCACCTGGAGGAAGGCCAAGGGCAAAGATTCCCACACAGAAAGGCAGAAACGAGCCCCTGGTGGTGAGTGCCAAGCTTGTAACTACAGACACACACACAATTTGAAATTGCTTAAAAGCCAAGAGGCACGAAGCAATCAGGGAGAAATCCTCTAATCCCCAGATGGAATGCCCTGGAATGTCCTCATGCTCTCCTTCCAATGTGTACAAAATACACACTAATAAAATCAAATTGTTCTCTCCCTAATCAGCTCACAGAAAGCTCCAGGCAATATCTAATTTTCTGCAAAACTGTTTTTGTGGGGAACATTTAGTCTGTGTTGGCTGGGTTTCACTTCAACGGGGGAGTCAGCAATCAGGAGAGAGTGTGGGAAGATTCCAAGGGCCCTCCGGGTGAATTCTGCCAGGTTTTAATGCCGTGTAAATACTCATCCTTGCTCCCGCTCTGAGCTGCCAAAACAGAAGGCAGGGCCTCAAGAAAGCTTGTTGGGCGGCGCATTCAAACAGAATCTGCCAGGCAGGTTCCTGGCTCCAAGACTTCAGGACTCAGGCTCTGGAGCCACACTAGTTCATGATACAGCTTTTCACATTAGTTGTGTGACCTTGGGCAAGTGACTTCACCTCTCTGTGCCTCATCTATAAATAAGCTATCTCACAGCGTAGTTACAAGAATTCCACAGACTGGTGTAGAAATAGGATTGCCAGATAAAATACAGGATACTCTGTTACATTTGAGCTTCAAATAAACAACAATTAATTTTCTAGTGTAAGTAGGTCCCAAATACTTACACTAAAGTATTTAGTGTAAAGGAGCTCTGAAGGTAAAGACTCTGCCTTCAGTGCAGGAGACCAGGGTTCGATCCCTGGGTTGGGAAGATCCCCTGGAGAAGGGAATGGCAACCCCCTCCAGTATTCTTGCCTGGAGAATCCCATAGACAATGGAGATTTGCGGGCTACATTCCATGAGGTAGCAAAGAGTCAGACATGACTGAGTGACTAACACACATGTCACAAATATTGCATGAACATAACTGTTTCATTTGCTAAGTGTGGCAGCTCCAGATGGTAAGCTTGTAGAAGGGCACCCGGCAGCTAGTAAATGCTCAATGAGTGTCAGATGTTATAGTCTGCTATTGGTACCTTTGGGGCTCAATTAATGACCTTGGAATTTGGTTTGGAGGAGACTGTTGTTCTTAGTTTTGCATCTACAAAACCTTTTGGAGTTCAATTAGGAGGACCTTGCACTTCTGGTCATGGAGCCACAGAACGTCTTCCATGGGACACCCGGCCACAGAAGCCCAAGTAACCAAGGCCTCCCAGAGAAGCCCACATCCAAGGCCTTCCCGACCTGGCTCCACTCCTGCTCACCACCTGCATCTCAGACAAAGTAAAGATGATTCTTACCTACAGGAGAAGCAAAGAAACGAACATGGATAGAAGGAAGTGGCATTTAGTCCAACCCCTGCCTGTAGGGCCTTGCTCCAGGCACTTCCTGTGTGTTTTCTCATAATTCTTCCAGCAACTCCGAGGATGAACCTCAGGACACCCATGAACAACGTGGGGTGAGAATGCCTCCTGACCTCACAGAATCGTGCAGGGGAGATGAGAAGACGAAAGCAAAAGCCCTGAGTGTGGAATAGGGGATGAATATGTTTCTTTTCTTTCCCCCTTTTTCGTATTTCACTTCCCACTTAACCAACAACAATAAAAACCAGACTGTCCAGGGCTGCACAACCCTGGGGAGAGACAAACGCCAGGCCTGTTGGCCTCCTGCCACCCACGTTGCCCGTACAAGTTGTCTCCAGGTCTTGGGTCTCACATCCCCTGATTTCTGGTGCCCTGCAGGCCTCTGACGCGCCTCTCTTATTCTTCCAAATAGTACCCTACCCAATGATCCCCTTCCTCCAGGAAGCCCTTCAGGCTGAATACACAGCTGGAGGAAAGATAGCAGGGGCACCCTTCTCACCTTCCAGGGCCCAGCCTCCCCAGGGATCCACTCCCCTTCCCTG